TTGACATTGTAATATAACTGATAACTTTCAAATGAGTGAGCCCAACTATTCGGCTCCTCTTTTGGAGCTCGAAACTTCTGCATAACTCCCCTTTCAAACAATAATGACCTTTTATTTTCAGGTGGAGACACGCTTTGTTTGTTTGTTACTTACTTTGGGTGAATGTGGTTTTCAGGACTTTGTGTATTTGAGTTAGTTTTTCCAGTATACTCCTGCAAGTATTTTTTTAAAATATATATTTTGTTTCGTCCACCCTGCTCCTCCTGCTGGCTCCATTGCGCCTTACTGTGAAGTTGGACCCGGCGGGCGGGGGAGCCTATTGTGTGTGAAGGTCACCCAAGATAAAAACCTTCTATAAAATTCAACACTGCTGGAACAGTGCAGTAAAGCCTCTTTTTTTTCTTTTCTTTTTTTTTTTCAAACCAACAGAGAAAGCTTTGAACATTTAAGACAAACGCACAACAGGAAGTATCCGGTCGGTTTTGTAGTGAAAGTTCAACTAAAAAGCCATGCTACTCAGATATGTTTTTATTTCTTCTGATTTTTTTTTTTTTTGTGACACCGATACAACAAGCGTTATTAGTGCTTCTGCATTTATCTGTGTTTGGTAACGCCAAAAGAACATACAAAATTGCCACAAAATCTGGTCGAGGCACGTGGCAGGAGACAAGGAAGATCCAATTACATTGATGAGAGGACGCAACATTTTTTTTTTTGAAGACCTTTGTGAAAACCAATCAGCTTCCTCAACCCTTTGTGTCTTGTCCAGGTGTTTCTTGTTGTCTCGTCACTTTGCTTGTATTTAGTTCCATGGGTTCTGTCAGTCTTTCTTGGATCATTGTGTGCTCCTGTCATGTTATGATTTGATCCTAGGTTGTTGGGTTTTTTTTTTTGTTTGTTTGTTTGTTACTTACTTTGGTTTAGTGTGGTTTTCAGGACTTTGTTTGTGTATTTGAGTTAATTTTTCCAGTATACTCCTGCAAGTATTTTTTTTAAATATATATTTTGTTTAGTCCACCCTGCTCCTCCTGCTTTTTGGGGTCCTCTACCATCACACAAAACATGACATGTTTCATTGTTGGAGACTTATTGGAACAGTCACTGTCCCTTGTCACTGTCCACTGCCATTAATAAAAGTCCTCATGACTTTTTTTATTTAGCTCAATTAAAAAAAAAAATACAAATGGTAACATATTTCATATTCTGCATGTATTTTGATGTAAATAATAACGTTACCTGATAAAAGAAGGAATTTCTGAAGGCGTTATTGTGGTAGTTGTTGTTTGGAAGACTCGTAGCGATTTGGAGAGAAACGGCTGGAGTCTGGAGCGAAAGCACAATGCGTCCTTGTTGGTTAGTCTACCATGTGAACACCTCATAAATAAATGCAGGCACAGTGCATAGTGAAATAATGATAAGGAGCGAAATGTTACAAACAAGGTGCAGTGCATGCATGGTGTGCATGAGGAAAAGTCCGTGCTGGTACACCAACAATTCTCTGGGGCTGAGACTGGAGGGTTTCAACGGGATCAACTCTCCCTCACATTTCCACTGACATTCCAGGACATCCACAAATCTGTTGACGCTTTTGCCTGAGCAAAACAGAGACCATTTATATGATACGATAATGATACGAGGCTCCCAATTGACTGACTCTGCCAACTACCTATAATCTCCTGTTTCCACTCGGCAGATATAATCATAACTTTCAGTTGAAACGGATTGTCCATAGCCATTGCCAGTCAAGCCTGGGTGTGTTTTAAATCGTGGATTTGTGCGATCTGCCAGCGAGTATTTCACCCACCTTTCAGCTCTTGCTCCACTCCTTTCAAGAGTTGGAAAAGAGGCGAAAGTTCCAGCAGCTTTGTCCACTCTTCCTCTGGGAATGAAGGCAAAAGCATTTTAATGATGCACAGGTCCGGCATTCTAAGTATTACGTAGATGCTTTTGCATGAAAGATGCTACCTGGAATTGTTGGTACGACGATGTGACTGGTTGGAGGGACTGCTGTCAAGAAATGTTGATGTCATTTTAACAGATTTTTTTTACTTCCACATTTGCCTGCTGTGATTATGGTGGAAACACAAACAAATCGTTGACCAAAGTGTCACTTGGTCTTTGATCGAACTTGGAAACAGCTGGGACATTCTATTCTATCTTCAGCATGGCATTTAGCCCCCTATACACGCCACCCACCCCCCCAGCCAACCACCACCGTTTTGAACCAGCCAGTGTTTTGGTCTGCAACCCTTGGCAACGGCTACATTAATAAACTGGATTGCTTCCAGAATGTGGTCATGAAAATCACCATTCAAACCACGGTTAAAATTAGTCTACTGCAAAACAAAAGGTTTGAAACTTGAAGTGGCTTGAGTGCCTCGAGAACAGAATGTGCTTGCCAAAATGCGGAAGGACGTAAACGGTGCCTTGGATGCACTTCGGCCAAAACAAAACAGAACAATTAGCAGTTCTATCTCGAGTAAAAGGGCCACACTGAGAGGGGAAAAAAAACGCATACCAGACTCAAGTTAGTAAGTCAAAAATTTTCTTCACAATAATGTTCGATGCTGCCCCACTCGTTTACGTGTTTATGTGGTGTTGTGATGAAAAGTGTGTTTGCGGAATATGAATTAAGCAGAAAAATCCACCCATTTTTATCCATCTCAGGGGGCGGCCATTTTGCCGCTTGCTGTCCACTGAAAATGACATCACAGTTGCTCGGGGCTGAGGGAACAAACAATCACGGCTCACCTGTTTTCTGGGTTTGATGTGATTGCTTGTTAGCTGAGGCCTCAGGGACTGTGATGTCATTTTCAGTTGACACCAAATAGCAGTATAAGGGCCCCTGAGATGAATGAAAACGGGGATTTGTATTGCTTCATTCATATTCCACAAATACAATATTAATCATCAGAATGCTATGTTCAGACTATTAGCGGTGCATACAACATATTATTGTGTCGAAAAAGTTTGACTTGACTTTCCCCTTGAAGTGTCAGGCATGCTCGTGAGCTGGCGGGCACCCCAAGCGACGCACACCACCGAGTGACTCCTTAAGCTGCTTCACATGATTACAGAAAAAAGACCTGTATAGCCACGTCTTAAAAAAAAAAAGTGCTCACGGGTCCATCCCAGAGCAAGCATCTACTGACACAATGATAGAAAGTTAAACATCTCACAGTATTTCATTTCACTTACAGCGGCCATGTTTGCTTGCAGTATCTCACAACAGCGTCACTGTGGAGAAAGATGACAGGCGTTTTAGCTACGTTCTGTTGAACTTTCACATACTGATGAAAGAAATCATTCTATCTGGAAATATTATTGATGATTTATTTCTTCATCTCGGAGGAGCGTACTAAGATCAAGTAGCTAGCGAGAAACGTCCATCTTACCTTTAGCAGGTGGAGAACGATCTTTAACAGTCCTCAGCGATATATATTTCTAAAAAAAAAATAATAATAATTAAAAAAAACATCTAGGCGATAGGCAAAGATTCAAAGATTCACACCACTTGCTGCAATTATCTTTATTCATCAGGACATTCTGATTTTTTATTTTTTTTAATATATGACAGTGGTGCCTGAAATTAATTTGGCCCACATAGAATCAAAGTGACAAGAAGATGAAATTCTCAATTCCGTACTCTGCATTTCATACAAAATCTGCTCGTCACTTGTTGCTTGGCAGATATTGTGGGACATATACGTAACCTATAAAAAAAAAATGACTGAAGGTAATCTTTTCAACTATGCTGTTGCCTTGTCGATGGAGCAGTGCAGCCCACTGCAGGAAACAGTGGGTTGTCAATCACTGAGCACATTTCGACAAGCAACCATTAACACCTTTTGTCAATTTGGATTTTTTTTTAAATTAATTTAGTGTGCATGTTTTGGGGGATGTGTGCTGCCAATAAATTACGTTTCAGTTGACTCACGACTGACTGAAAATAGCTGTCATAGCAGCGTACCCAGGATGAGGATGTTTAACACATGCGGAGGAAGGATCAAAGCCAAGGTAGCACGCTGGGCCGCTCTCCTCTGGGCCTCGGCTTGGGCTAAGTCATGCATTTCCACGGCTGCTTCCCTTAGCGGCCTGCCTGACCACTGGACCTGGAGCACAATGAAGACACAATTTTCTCACTGTGGTACACAAAAGAAAAAAATAGAGGCAAATCAATCATCATTTAAAAAAAGGATTTTGAAAATTTAAAAAAAATGGATGAACAACATCTATCTATCCATCCATCCATATGTCGATCAATTTATTGATCATGTCTTCCACCATAGGATAATTAACTCAGCATGAGACTTGATTTTTAGTTATACTGTTTTTGTGCTTTCTACCGTCTTTGTTATTTTAAATTAATTTAGTGTGCATGTTTTGGGGGATGTGTGCTGCCAATAAATTACGTTTCAGTTGACTCACGACTGACTGAAAATAGCTGTCATAGCAGCGTACCCAGGATGAGGATGTTTAACACATGCGGAGGAAGGATCAAAGCCAAGGTAGCACGCTGGGCCGCTCTCCTCTGGGCCTCGGCTTGGGCTAAGTCATGCATTTCCACGGCTGCTTCCCTTAGTGGCCTGCCTGACCACTGGACCTGGAGCACAATGAAGAGACAATTTTCTCACTGTGGTACACAAAAGAAAAAAATAGAGGCAAATATATCATAATTTCAAAAAGGATTTTGAAAATTAAAAAAAAAAATGGATGAACAACATTTATCTATCCATCCATCGATATATCGATCAATCTATTGATTGTCTTCCACCATAGGATAATTAACTCAGCATGAGACTTGATTTTTAGTTATACTGTTTTTGTGCTTTCTACCGTCTTTGTTATTAATTTATTGTTCTATTGTTTGTTGTATGAATTATTTTACTCTATGTACAGCACTTTGTATACAGCGGTGGTTGTTTGAAAGTGCTTGCTCCATGAATATAGTAAAATTGAATTGAGTTTATGGTCCTAACTCCTCCCCCGCCCCCCCTGCATACTGTCGGTTTGATCGGCCATCGCCAGCCAGTAAGATGCCGTGATGGGTACAACTGTGTCGGTGAGCACATCCAGCCTGGCGCCAACCACTGGAGCCAATGTGGCAGTGACAGGGTCAATTGCCTGAGAGCCATACCGGATCGCCACCAGACCTGCAGAGTGGATGCATGCATATATGTTGGATATGAATGCTTCAGTCAACTCTATAAGCGCAGTGGTTCTCAAACTGTTAACACCGAATGTCACCGGAAAAAATGAAGGGTTCTAAAATCAACACTGCGCTTAAATATAGGAAATATGTTTTCCTTTCCTTTATTCCACATACAAGATGAATACAAATTGTAGCTATTTAATTGTTTGGAAAAAAAAAAGATTCTGTGTAAATGTTTTGAACTTGAAAGTTAAATACAACTAAACTGTGCTTCGGGCAGCTGCTCGTCATTATTTATATCATAATGAATTAATCTGTCCATTATTTTGTCAATGAATTTTGCAATCAATAAACAAGTTGCGATTTTCATTCTTATATTCACAAACAGGAGATTATTATAAATTAACCTGTCAAACATACATTAATTGCGATTCACTGATTAAATTGGTGTTCTTCTTTCATGGAGGACTACAGAAATCTTATTTCCTGTCGAAAGGCTGAAATTCTAAAGATTTTAGACCATTTTAAATTGATCAAGCTCTGTAATCAATTATCATAATAATTAATTTGATTAGATTACTGATTAACTGTCGATTAACCATTGCACCTCTACAATTGAATCAGTAAATCACATGAACTCTGCCAGATTATCTGATCCGTGTTTTACTTTTTTTATTCTACCGTTGCCATCGGGGTCCTCCATGGTCCCTGCAAGCCCAATTGTTATTCCAGAGATGAAGTCAGTCCGGTACCCCAACACGGGTACCGTGAGACCTGATCCCATTGGGTCAGGGTAGTCCATACCCAGCAAGGCTTGTACTGGTGTGTCTGAGCCTGACAGAGCCATGTCTCCTAGAGTAAAAAGCATATGATTTCTCGGGGTCAAGGAACTATATACAGTATATAGATATAAAGACTGTGCTTCGGGCAGCTGCTCGTCATTATTTATATAATAATGAATTAATCTGTCCATTATTTTGTCACTGAATTTCGGAATCAATAAACAAGTTGCAATTTTCATTCTTATATTCACAAACAGGAGATTATTATAAATTAACCTGTCAAACATACATTAATTGCGATTCACTGATTAAATTGGTGTTCTTCTTTCATGGAGGACTACAGAAATCTTATTTCCTGTCGAAAGGCTGAAATTCTAAAGATTTTAGACCATTTTAAATTGATCAAGCTCTGTAATCAATTATCATAATAATTAATTTGATTAGATTACTGATTAACTGTCGATTAACCATTGCACCTCTACAATTGAATCAGTAAATCACATGAACTCTGCCAGATTATCTGATCCGTGTTTTACTTTTTTTATTCTACCGTTGCCATCGGGGTCCTCCATGGTCCCTGCAAGCCCAATTGTTATTCCAGAGATGAAGTCAGTCCGGTACCCCAACACGGGTACCGTGAGACCTGATCCCATTGGGTCAGGGTAGTCCATACCCAGCAAGGCTTGTACTGGTGTGTCTGAGCCTGACAGAGCCATGTCTCCTAGAGTAAAAAGCATATGATTTCTCGGGGTCAAGGAACTATATACAGTATATAGATATAAAGATATAGAGATATAGATAGATAGATAGATAGATAGATAAAAGTAAGCATATACACTGAGATCATTTTTAGAAAGATTAAATTGGTGTTCTTCTTTCATGGAGGACTACAGAAATCTTATTTCCTGTCGAAAGGCTGAAATTCTAAAGATTTTAGACCATTTTAAATTGATCAAGCTCTGTAATCAATTATCAGAAAAATAAATTTAATTAGATTACTGATTAACTGTCGATTAACCATTGCACCTCTACAATTGAATCAGTAAATCACATGAACTCTGCCAGATTATCTGATCCGTGTTTTACTTTTTTTATTCTACCGTTGCCATCGGGGTCCTCCATGGTCCCTGCAAGCCCAATTGTTATTCCAGAGATGAAGTCAGTCCGGTACCCCAACACGGGTACCGTGAGACCTGATCCCATTGGGTCAGGGTAGTCCATACCCAGCAAGGCTTGTACTGGTGTGTCTGAGCCTGACAGAGCCATGTCTCCTAGAGTAAAAAGCATATGATTTCTCGGGGTCAAGGAACTATATACAGTATATAGATATAAAGATATAGAGATATAGATAGATAGATAGATAGATAGATAAAAGTAAGCATATACACTGAGATCATTTTTAGAAAACTTTTTGTGACATGTTTGTTTGTATGTGTGCCGTGAGACTTTCCTCATGTAATAGTATCCCAAAAAATGTTTTGTAAGACTTTGTAGACGTGCCAGTGACCAGCAGGTCTGGACACTCACTCACCTAGAGAGCATCCATCCTGATGCAGTCCCACCATGAATTAACCTTTGCACCTCTACAATTGAATCAGTAAATCACATGAACTCTGCCAGATTATCTGATCCGTGTTTTACTTTTATTCTACCATTGCCATCGGGGTCCTCCATGGTCCCTGCAAGCCCAGTTGTTGTTCCAGAGATGAAGTCAGTCCAGTACCCCAACACGGGTACCGTGAGACCTGAACCCATTGGGTCAGGGTAGTCCATACCCAGCAAGGCTGGTACTGGTGCGTCTGAGCCTGACAGAGTCATGTCTCCTAGAGTAAAAAGCATATGATTTCTTAGGATCAAGGAACTATATATATAGATATATAGAGATATAGATAGATAGATAGATATAAGTAAGCATATACACTGAGATCATTTTTAGAACACTTTTTGTGACATGTTTGTTTGTATGTGTGCCGTGAGAATTTCCTCATGTAAAAACTGTTTTGTAAGACTTTGTAGACGTGCCAGTGACGAGCAGGTCTGGACACTCGCTCACCAAGAGAGCATCCATCCTGATGCAGTCCCACCATGGTGTCCTGCAGGATCTCCAGTCTGGTTTGCAGCTGCAGCTGGCAATGCTGACTCCTTTTCCAGTGAAGATGGAGCTCCTCGGCCACTGCACCAATACCATCGTGCCAGCGAGACGCTTGCTCGCCTCTCTGATGGAGCTGCAAAGCCGGTTCTGAGCTCCAATCGTCACTCAGAGGCCTCAGGAGCTCGACTGTTTTGAACATGACTGCCAGAACCTAGGCAATGTTTTTTGTGTTACAAATGTTTCTTTGACCTTCATTTGTCATGTTTGCTCTTACTAACTGGATGAAAGACACCTTGCTGTCTAAAAGTGTCTGGTATCCTCCTGCATGAGGCACCAGCTGCCCGGCTTGGATGCTCGCACCACCCACTCTCGCCATTCGACCACTCAGAGGCTCCCTAAAGGGCTCACCCAGCGTGACACCCCCTACTGGCAGCACAACACCTACACAAAAAGTTTTCATGAACTACAGTAGCACTTTGACTTACGAGTTTCATTCGTTCCATGACCAAGCGCACGCACACACACAAAGTGCAAATTGGGGGCACTCAAGTCAAGGTACCAGTACATTTGACCACATTCAGAATATCATAAAAGCTGTCTCACTTACCGGTCACAAGATCTATACCGATTCCAACAGTCAGCACAATGTTTCCTGTCCGGGGTTCCAGCATTGGATAGCCGATCTGGACGGGTTGTGGTAAACGGGTAATGGGGCATATATGTGTCTTTCCCAGTGGGCACTCAAGTCAAGGTACCAGTACATTTGACCACGTTCAGAATATCATAAAAGCTGTCTCTCACTTACCGGTCACAAGATCTATACCGATGCCAACAGTCAGCACAATGTTTCCTGTCCGGGGTTCCAGCATTGGATAGCCGATCTGGACGGGTTGCGGGAAACGGGTGATGGGGCATATATGTGTCTTTCCCAGTGGATAGATCAGACCAGTTTGTGGCTGGATGGTAACGGCAAGAATAGGTACTGGGACCCCAGTGTCTGGGTCTGCCATGGGGGCACCTAGCTGCAGTTTCTGACCTGGCCGGAGACTTCTGAGCCGGATGTTGGGTAGAGGTTGGTTTGGGTGGCAGGAGGTTGGGTATGGAATGAAAGGAATAGGAGGAATTTCCCATTTCCTGTTGTCTCCTTGTAAGGATAAAGAGGAAACGAAAGGTTACTCCATTAGGGCAGTGATTTGTATCTTTAATGTGTGGGTTTTGTAGAATGTCACAGTTTGATCCAGCTACAGTATGCTTTCGAATAATCCCTGTGGTCTATTTGTTTATCTGCCAAATAAATTAACTGAAGACTCATTGAAACCTAACAAAACATACCCATTTCCTGTTGTCTCCTTGTAAGGATAAAGAGGAAAGGAGAGGTTACTCCATTAGGGCTGTCATTTGTATCTTTAATGTGTGTTTTTTGTAGAAAGTCACAGCTTGATCCAGCTACAGTATGCTTTTGAATAATCCCTGTGGTCTATCTGTTTTATCTGCCAGATAAATTAACTTAAGACTGATTGAAACAAAACATATCCTGTACCGTATTTACTGTAAGTTTTGAGATCTCACCGAAATCCGGAAACAAATTGTGTTCAAACTTGCTAAATAGCAAATGTAAGGTTGAACCAGTTAAAAATACCTTTTTACTCTGTACTGCCTGATATCATTATAGACTTTGGTTCTTCAGCCGTACAACCTACATGGTAAATACCTGCACACAAATCAGTTGTGATCACCAAAGTGGAGCTTTCGGGGTCATAGGCGACATTCCCGGCAATGGGGAGAACATGGCCAGTCTGTGGATGCAGGAAGAAATTTGGAGGAACCGCCATAGTGTGACCACTGCTCAGCAACATGTGGCTATGAGCATTTGGTCTAATGAGGCCGGTGACCGCGTCATAATGAGCGGGGCAACAGTCTCGCAGGGATCCGTCAGAACCTGGAGAGAGCATTATCATGTCTTTTTTTTTTTAAACATATACTTTTGTAAATTACATCAATGTATGTGACAATTACAACCTGTAATGTGTGAACTAATGTACCACAAAAGGTAGTAATTAAGCTCACTGGTATCAAGTGGATTGCTTGTTGTTGCAGTACACATACGTACCAACAGGTGGTAGTGTTTCTTTACAATTCCCGTATGAGGGGCAAGAGAAAGCTTACCAAAGATGCTGTCTTTGCTCAGCACAGTGCCTGTGTCAGGACAGAGGAGCTTGGCCCCTGTGCCTTCACCCAAAAGCCCCCAGGACCCCTGGCGCTGGCATTCTGCTGATACCAGGCCCCCCATCTTACCCACCAGGGACCTTAACCGCTGGATCAAACTGAGGACAGAGGAATGTTCGCAATGAGACTTCAGTAGAAAACCTCAGCGCTAACTGTATTATTGATAATACTTTTGGTGGTACAGTCCAAAAGATGTCTGGTCGATCTTGCCCAGTATTTTGGTGCATTCTCGCAGTTGAGCTGTGAACACACTGTGGACCTTCTGTTGCGCCTCCTGCTCTCGCCTCAAAACCTGGAGGACGTCAAGTGGAAAAGAATGTGCATCAACACATGAAACCAGCTCTTTCTTGGACCATACAGTACTGTATGTCAGTTAAACCTGAAGCTGAGCGTGGAGCAGCGTTCTCAGATGTGCAGCCAAAGACCTCCTGCGGCCCACTTCCTTCTCCACCTCTCTCCTCGTCTTGTCGCAAACGTCGCCCGTGCTCTCCTCATCCGCCAAGCGAGGGTGGAGCAGCCGTAGTTTCTCAAGAACACCTTGGTAAAGTTCCTTGACCTACATTTACAAAACAAACAGCAAAATGTAGATGGCTGCATTGAGGTTCAATATCATGCGATCAATAATGTTAAAAATGAATCATAAAATGTGCAGTTGGATAAAATGTCTCCTCCCTCCACTGATTTGACAAACTAAACGAATACTAGTCAAATTTTTGGCATAGAAACAAGGATCTCCTTTTACAACTATCACTTCCAAAGTCTTGAACGCTGTCACAGCAAGCGCAACTTGGGAGCACAAACAGGAGGGCCACATAAGTTGCACACCTCCGTGGTGAGCTGTCCCAGCTGTGCGGTGACCGAAACGCTGTGTTTGAGCAAGAGGTTATAGAAAGTGTTGCTGCTGAAGGCCTCAAGATCGACTTGGTGCTCGTAATCCCAGAACTCCTCCGAGAGCCCTGCTCCCAGACACAAACGCAAAGAGGTCAGATTGACTGAAGTCAACTATCAACCGGAAGTTGCAGTTTCTGAGCAATTCAAAATCCAGACCTGAAATGCCGCCGCCCCCCTCCTCCCCCGACCAAAAAGAATTTTATCACCAACATGCTTCCTGTGAAGCATCCGAGCAATATGACTGAATGCTTCAGGCCTGTCTTGAAGCGATGTAGTCCTCACTTTAAATTATTACTAATAATAATAACAGTAATAATAGGGCTGATAATTGAACAGCAGAATGAGCTGCACTCATTTTGTTGTTTGAAAGAAAAAAGAAAAACACAATTTTAAAATTACATTTCGAAACAGTAAGAATTTGAATAAATAGAAATATGAGTCCAAAAAAAATATCCAAATTACATGAAAAATATCAAACTTAATCAGTCATAACTTATCAAGTTTAAAAACACCCGAGAAGCTATAACCGACCAAATTAAAAAGCAAATAAGGGTTCATATTTTTAAAAATATATATATACACCAGTATGTTTGTACCTCATGAGTTTTAAATTGATGCCCCAAAAAATTATTGAGGTGTCATTTAAAAGTTATATGTCTTTGAATTTCTCACACACACACACACACACACACACACACACACACACACACACACACACACACACACAAGCACACGCAAGTTTTTCTTTTGATGTTCTGACCTGTATGTAAAAACCTAGAAAAACATGTTTGCATCTCAGTGTTTTATCAAGCGAGGTCATTCTGCAAAGTTCCTCTGTTGTCATTTCAACAATGCATGTGACCATGAGTGCATAACAGGAGCCTTTAGGCTGTAATTACTTCTGTGGGAGTGAATGTGTTACATCAGAAGCCACAAAGCTGGGCAATCAACTGTCAGGACGTGTGTGTATTACGTTCATACATGAACGTTCTGTGTGTTTATTGCAGGTGCACGTGGAGCGGAGGTTGCGTAACGTAGGTGCTTTCATGATGTTCATGTTCGTGTGCGTGGGGGATTGGTGTATCGTGTATGCATGTGTGCGTGTACCTGGTTGAATAGAAGTCAGCCTACATGTGGCTTGTTGTTTCCTGTGAATTTTCATTTGCGAGATCACCCTTGAACCCTTTGATGCGTAATCGTCCATGTGGTAGGTCAACTGCCGTGAGTAGTACCGCGCTGTGATTGGCTTCTTCTCAGGCCACCCATACTCATGGAAAAGGATCTGAAACGTGAGTTGGATCTCTCAAGAATGGTTGGCTTCCAAACCACATTCCGTGGTCCCAATACACTACTCACAACAAGTTACAAATTTTCATTTTAGAGATTGACATTCCAGGATGAACCTAACATGCACTGTAACCTGGAGGATACGTTTCACAATGTTCCCGGCAAAATGTAAAAATACAACAGATTTTTTTTTCTTTAAAACATAAAAGTGCTTTTAAAATAACTAAAACGAACTAAAATGATATCTTCTGTTTTCAAATCAAACACTACCTATAATGTTTGCGAAAACATCCTTCATTTTCATTTTTCATCTCAGTATCATAGATGAGCTTTAGAAGTTAATTTTAGATGTGTTTACTGGTTATTTTGGTATTGTTGTATGTCCATTCAAAAGAAGGACGGTCAAGCAGTCTTTTGAGAATTGTCGTTTTCTCCAGTACTCATTACTGACTTCTTTTTTTATCTTGCACTCAACAAATATTCCTTATATCAAAAAAGTAATACTAAAACTAAACACAAAGCATTTAATAAAAAACAATAATAAAAACAATCCTGTTCCAAAACTTAATTAAAAATAACTGTATTTAAAAAAATAAAAGCCAGAATAAAATTTAAACTAACATAACGAACAATCCCAAACTATTATAACCCTGAACCTCGGTGTCCATGGTTGCCGCCATGAAATAAGCCCCAAGTTTTCGAACAGTTGTTTAGCTGTAAAGGTAATAGTGCATTTTAAGATCACCCTGAAATTGTCCCCCAAAGCTGAACAACCCAAACTTTTTGTGAGTATTGTACCAACCAAGACTATCACGCATAAACACAAGATGAGGGCAGCTCCAAACAGAAGTCCTCCCGTCACCAGCCAGTCGGGACGGAGTAAGAGGTTTCGTCTCTTCCTGATCCCCATTCTTGTCATGTGACGTGGAATAGTTGAGAAGAAGGGTCCCGGCTCGTAACACTGGCCGCCCGCTAACATCACACGTACGTACTGGTGAGGGTCAATGGCAAAGGTCAAATCATCAGAACCCACAGCAAGCACTGGGAGAACATGAAATCATGGTAAGGGAGATTTGAAGACCAGACTATTGTACTGCCCCCCCACTACGTTATTTTTCCGTCATCCACTGTAATAACAACACACTTCCATTTGTATGTTACATTTACTGACCATACGTTTGTGGTGATGGCTGCTGAGTCTAAAAACATACACTCCGGGCTTGTTAAAGATGATTGAGAAGAAGCTGGGAGGTGTCCGGGACAGAGTCAACTCCTCTTTCAGTTTTCTCAGAGCACCCCAGTCAAAATCGCTGTTTGTATTGTACAGGTTGTCACTGACAAACAATTAAGATGAAGAATCAATGTTTATGGTTGTTTTTTTTTTTTTTTTTTTTTTTTTTTTTTTTACAAGTCAACACTTTAACTTACATATCGTACTGAGGATAGTCACGAGTGGTGACAGTGAACAACAGAACATCACCCAGGTGGAGGCAAGTTATTGGGTTGATAATTCCAGTGAAACTTTCTCTTGAGTCTCGCTTATTACTACTATCCATGTTCCCACCACCGCTGCTGATATTTTCCATGATGCGCATGTCCCAGGGAAGAACAGAAGCTCCTAAAAAGAGTATGAAAGATCCTGAATCAGTGTTACATATACTCACTCTACTCACCGGACAAAATAAGAGCTCCTTTTAAAGCAACAAAAGTAAGAATATTGTAGCCCCAAAAAGTAAAGCAAAGAAATACTTGACCATTGGACAAACTACTGTTATAATGATAATGTTAAATTAAAGTGTTATGTGAAGTCAAACCATGTGCTCTCGGGGCATCGGGGCGCACATCAGTTAATGACATAAACAGTTGCTGAAGTTCCTCCGGGAGGCTGCCACCAAGCAGGCCGACAAAGCCTGCTTCTGCATTCAGAATGCACATGAAGACATATAAAAAAAAAAGTTGAGAGACACGTATTGAGAAGTATGACAATGAGCAAAAGTGGTTGCGTGTGTGCCCAACCGCTTGTCCGAACAATGTAAACAGAGCGTGAAGGGATGAGGTGGCTGCCAGTACACTGCAGGCTCCCGTGGGAGTCCCACAGTTTAAAGAGCATCTCCAGCACGGTGCCGGACAAGTAGGACACCTGCATACAGACAGCAATATCGGTTAGCATAAGTAGGTCAAATAGACACTAGAGAGGCTTGTCTTTCTGATGAGTCGACATTCATTCCAAGCAAATAGATGTTACAAACGTAGTGGAAAATAGTAAAACACACTGCCAACACAACAAAGAATTTCATCAAAGAGAAAAAGTGGAAGATCAATCACCGAAACCTCAACCCACCAGACCGTGTTCATTTCCCTTCCCGATGAGAAGACTGGAGGGAGAAACTCAAAGAAACAAACAAGAACTGAAAGAGGTTGCAGTAAATAAAGGCTTGGAAAAGCATTTCAAATGAAGAATCAAAAAGTCAGTGGGTGGCAGGCTTTGCAAGTACAGTAAGTGTTATGCCATCAAATATTAAATGTTATTCGTAGTAAAATATTTTAATATTGTCAGGTTCAATAAATTTGGTTCCTTGAAAAGTGGGTGGCTTCTAACAAAACGTGCTCTGTCCTGAATTGTTAGACGTAAAGACCACAAAATAAAATCTGGAATTTTGAACTTTTGCCTCATATTCATCTTTTCGATCTGAAACCCAGATGTGTTGAGTGTATAACAAAAACAAAGGAATTGACCTTGCGGTTCCAATACTTTTGGGGGTGACTGCACTAATAGAACTAATACGTCATCCGATATGTTGATATGAAAGCACATGTGCGTACCAACTGCCCTTTGCTCACCTGACTGTGATAACCCAATACCAACTCCAGTTCTCCACTGGATTTGCAGCGGAGTTTCAGTTCAGTCGCAAGCCTTTTCCCGCATAGGCCCCCACACGCAGCTCGCCCGGGAGTCTCCGCGCACACGCACAGACCTAATTCTCCGTCGTAAGCCTCATAGTCTTCTGCAGATGAACACACCTACAGAAGAGATAGCAAAGATAGGGACTTATTTAGACGCACGTAATCTCTCCGCTCGTCTTCCGAAATGATCATCGGATGCCCTCAACTGTGTCGAGGGTTGACTCTGTAAGTGGGCGAAAGGTTATTTACACTCTGTGGGTGGTGGTGATACAAATAGAGCATTGGCTGCAATACTACAAGACAGTGTCAAATCATAAAAGCGATACAGTGTATCCGGAAAGTGTTCACAGCATTCGAGACTCAGCTCAACACATTGTTGATGCACCTTTAGCAGTAATTGCACGTGTTTCCTGTTAAATGGGGGGGGAGCCACAAAATTTTTCCCTTCGCTTCATTTTTGATTTTTGCATTCATGTAGATGTGTCTGTGTTGTCAGCATGAGCCCAACCTGTGTCCTGCAGTGAAGTGACCACTCATGTCGGTCCAGACAGTCTCCATGTTGACTGCGTGTTTTTCCATCCCTGCAGATGCTGTAAACTTTGTGCACACAAACATCTTCACTGTTGGTCGGTTGATAGTCGAGGGTACATTGGCACTGCCCGTCACTCCTCTGTTGAAAAGTCAATGGGGTTCTGTTATATAACTGGAATTACAATTCCAAAAGGTTATGTTGTGATTTTCTATTTTAGCCATGACAGCCTAATCTATTTGGAAACTTTGCATGACTTTCCAGTGCCAGACACACAATTCCAGCTTCACGAGGAATGCATTTGAGATGGTCACAACCATCCCAATATTCCCATTTCATCACAAGTTGAATCTGCCTCTTCTCACAATACAGTACAGTTAAGTACCGGTAATAATTCCCCGCAAAACTAAACATAATTAGTAGTACTGGTCTTAAAATAAAAACTGATTTTCTAATGACCTTTGTGACACCCTAAACAAGGGGTGGCCACACTTTTTTTTTATTCGGAAGCACTCTAACATTCTTCACTTTTAATTTAGTGAATTAAATTGCTACGTGTTCTATGTAGGCAATGCAAAGATATTATTACAGACTATATATACACTGTATATATTTCTCTGAAACAAGCCAGCGCTCCATCGCATAGTGGGTTGTAAGACAGCAGATCATACCCAAGCTCTCAGTTTCAATGTCTTTCTGTCATTATAGTGCCTTTATTGGATTTGAGGATAGATTTGCATATTTTGCAATGCATTTCTTGTGTGTTGGCACTTATATAACTGCAAAATAATCCAGGAGTCAGGTTAACCCTTTCTACTATATTGTCATGAAAAAACATGTCAGCAGGTTATGTATCCAGTCATCCTTTTTCATCATTTATTTTCATTCAATTATACATTACACATTTTTTTATCCAAAACCCATCTGGGAATTACATTCAAATCAAAATCTCCATGAGGGCAACATTGAGACAGGAAAGAAGACCCCGGCTGTGCGGAAATCTGATCTGCTCGTCTTTCAGCATGATGCTACTGATTGTTTGGGTTTCTTACCTGCTTCTCACTGTGCATTGTAAAACCTCAACACTTTCAAATGATATGAAAGTGCTGAAAAATGATGGTTAGCGAACAAACAGAGGAGCTATGAAGGCAATGCTCGACTCAACAGCCTATTACTGGACGGAATCAGTCTTACCTGAAAGTTCTGTCCCTTTCCTGGGCAGATGCAAGTGTCCTGTCCAGACAGAGGCTGTTGAGCCACAGATCCACAAGGGACAGATGCGGACAGACCCGGTCGGGGACAGTAATGGTGAGGAGGACACTTTAGACAGCTTTCCAATGCTACACTGTCTGCAGCAGGCCCATAGGTCCCCCTTGGGCAAGGGATTGGAGTGACGCTTTCCGGGAGGCAGTAAAAGCCTGATTTTTTTTTTTTAAATAATCATCACAAAGAAGTTTAGGTTCCATCAACACTGTCAAGAGGTATTAATACGATTTTCATTCGTACAAATGCATTTTAGGGAAAAATATCACCGTGTAAACAAAACATGTCAAGTCAATTTTAAAATAAAATAAGCAGGACTATTGTGAAGAAATGCAAGCAAAATGGCAAGAACCCATACCGAATAGGCCGTCTGCTTGTTCCACACGCAACATTGTGGAGCAATCACGTGTCCGAGTGCGATGAAATGCTAACATTAAAAATGCCAATAATTAAGATCAAATTTAAAACTGCACTCACTTGGAAATCATTTATCTGAGATATTCCTGCATTTACGGTTTTAGGTGCCGTTGTGAAATAATGAGCAAATACATTTGAACCCGTTAAGGGACTGCGGTTACTACAGTGGACATCTTATCATGTTATCAGGTTACAGGTTATCATGATTTGTGCATGAAAGGGTTAATTCGCCAGATTTTGGAGGGAACTCTGCTAAATGAATGCACCAAATATAACTGGACTCCTGCTCATGTAATGTGTATGTAGAGCAATAATAGCATAAGACACGTTCAAACATACCAGGTTGACAAGATGGCCTCTCTAGGGAAGATTGGCTGATATTGGCCTCATAAACAGGATGCAAACCAGAGGAAATCAACAACCACCATAGACACCTCACGAAATGATCACAGCATCCTCCCGGCATGGTCACGACCGCATGCGCTGCTATGCTTGTGATCCAAAAATAAAACTACACTGTCAGTTGTAGCTGTGCACATTTGACTACAAGCGTCTGGTCATAGAAAGCAAAAGGTAACGTGAGCTAATGTTTCGTCGGCATGGCTTTCATTCGCATGCTGAATGATTCATGAAGCGTCAGAGGTAAGGTGACAGTGGCAGTGCAGAGGGAGATTAGAAAGTATCACATTGCTCCATTTGTTCTCGGTGCAACCAGGAAACTGATTAATGATTTGGCACGTGGCTTTGCTTGAGAGCAGCTTTTTTTTGTGAAGGTTTTACAAGGTGGTGTCTTAAAAACTAAGCATCCATTCATCCTTTTTCTTGATTCTAATTAGCGACACTATCAAGCACAGGTCAGAATATTGGGTATGCCTCCACAGTCCCTCAAGAATAGGTTGAATGCTGAGTTTCGGATTGATGCCCGATCGGTTTCACAGTATCTTTGTTATTGTGGTTCATACAAGCGAACCGCATGAACCCCATCACACTGCGAGAGGTTTTAAATATTCGGTACCTCTCACACAGTTCAATCAGCAAACCAAAACTAAAACCTCTTAGTGTGGCGCATTCCATGTTGACTTGCCATTCAACAAACTTTCATTCTTCCACCATGTTTACTCACTCAATAGTCAAGGTTTGCGCTGTTCCATTATTGGGTATTCTTTGCGTCACTCGACTGTCTTATCTCGAAAGCGAGTGTAAATTCTGCGAAGCGTCTCTGTGGTCTTCAGGGTTTTTTTTTTTAAGTTGTTTTTTTGACCCCGAGAGGCTTTTCACAGAAATATTTGACTGGCAAACAGCTGGAGGTGTGTGAGTGCATGTGTGTGTGTGCTTGGATGAAATAAAAATGCATCAGGTTATCATACTTTGCTCCATATTCCAATTGCCTTTTTTATGTGTTCATTCCAGACACAAATAAATGCATCAAGTTTTGAGTTTCTTTCGACATCTCAGTCTGTGCATGTCATGTACAATCGACATGCAGGAAGCTGATGTTTTTATGAATAAGAACGGCCACATTTCCAGTTATTGTGTTGACCAGACTTTGTGCAACTGTTGTAACCTAGTTAGTTCATCGTGGCAGCCGTGGACTATGACCTTGAAGTGATGATTCAAAGCTTACCCAAGACTCCACTTTCACCTACATACCAGTACTCGTGTCATCTCACTAGCACGACATTTGTTAAGTAGCAGAATATACAGCAAGGGCATTGCAATTTTGTACGGAATTCTTTTTACATCATGGTCATCGTTGACCGACTTATTTTATGTTCTGCGCTGTGTTTAAAAAAAGCGATTAAAAAAAAATACATTGAAGCAACTTGTGTGTGTGGCCAACTGCTTAATGGCAATCTGTCGAGAATGAAGTAGTAAATGGGGTCGTAAATGGCTATAGTAAGCAATACGTTTGACAGAGGCAATCAAATATTTGCTTAATTTGTGATACATGTCGAACTCATTCAATACCGTGGAATGACATATTCATCAACTTGAATCCAACCATTTACCGCCATCCATCCAACCATTTTCCTCTGCTTATCCCAGGTCAGGTCAGCAGGGAAGGCCAGACTTACACTCTCGCCAGCCACTCTTCCGGGGAGATTTCGAGGTGTTCCCAGGTCACCGGGAAGCCAGAGTCTCTCCAGAGTTGCCTGGAACATTTCACAAAAGAGGTGGAACCAGACTACCCAAATGACCAAACCATGTCATCTGGCTGCTTTCGATGTGTAGGAGCAGCGGCTGTACTCTGAGAGCCTCCCGGATGGCAAGGCTTCTAACCTCGACTCTAAGGGAGACCCTGGACGATCTGTGGAGGATTCTATTTCGGTTGCTTGTATTGGGGATCTTGTTCTTTCGATCACAACCTTCCCCTTCCAGAACCCCTGAATAGATCTTACCCAGGCAGGCAGAGGAGTGTGAAGGCGCTGTTTCTGATATCTACGAGACGTTGCAGAGAAGTGTCAACCAGAACTGCGCCACAACATACAGAACCTACCAAAATCAAATGGAGGGGGGAAAAAAAACGAAAATGCAGGATGCCTTCTGGTGAACAAAACCTGACTTAGGACAACATCAACTTGTTTCACCTTTTGTGATCAACTTCCACCTCATTTGTACATAATGAAATAGATAATAGCTGCGCAGTCGTCCCATAACAGCAGAATTGAACAATTCTTGTTTTATCTTCATATTTACTGATTTTTTTTTTTTGGTAGTATTTAGGGATTTTTATCTCAAAGTGGTTTGACACTAATCATGGACTGCCCATAAACTGAAAGATTTACAGTGGCTCATCTGTGCGCGTAGTGTGTGCATGTGTGTGTATGTTGTGTTCCGTCACCCGTGTAACCCTCCACGTGTTGACTATTGACACAGTCCTGGTCTGATAACGAGGCCCTTTATAAGACTGACAGTGCAGAAAGGTCGCTCTGTAGACCCCTGAAGCTCAGGTAAATACCACCAACTTTTTCTCTGTGTTTCCTTGATTGATTAATGGATAAAGGAAATCAAATGCAATTTTCACCGCACAGTCATGGATGTAATGCTTTCTATTCTCCACAGAAAAGAAAACATGCTTTCAGAAAAAGTGTTCTTGATCATTTGCGCCTTTGCAGTCTTGGCAATTTCAGGTATTTTCATGAAATAATTCTCAATGTATTACGGTGTACTTTGTATGCATTTGATATTGTTGTTTCACACTAGTTCCATATGTTCATTATCTCCGACACATTTACAAACACAACCTAAGGTATTATTTTCTTGCAGCTTATCCGCTCCATCGTGACACCAGGGAGGCAACCTGGGCTGATTCCAAGGCCAATCAGGCTCATCCCAAGTTAAAAATCACAAAAGAAGCAGAGTAAGTTTATCTAACTAAGAACATTAAATTATAAAAAATCCAGATTATTTTGCTCATTGGTGTACCAAAAAAAAAAAAAAACTAATTGTGGGAATTAAACACAAATGGAAATGGCACAAAGTAAGACAAGGGCAAAAATACTGGTTATGATACAACTACAAAGTAGGTTAGGTTAGTTAGATTTTACCTGTGCCTACGTGGGTTTTCTCCGGGTATTCCGGTTTCCTCCCACATTCCAAAAACATGCATCGTAGGTTGATTGAACATTTTAAATTGTCCCTAAGTGTGATTGTGAGTGTGAACGGTTGTTTGTCTATGTGTGCCCTGGGATTGGCTGGCAACCAGGTCAGGGTGCCCGAAGACAGCTGGGAGTGGCTCCAGCACGGCCGCCACCCCCGTGCGAATAAACGGATTAGAAAATGGATGGATGGATGGATGGATATTTCGGGTTTCCATATGGTCACTGTGTTGTATTTTTTATGCCCACTAGATGGTGGCATTACATTGTTTTTTCTTGGGTTTGGGGAGGGGGGCTTTAACATGGTGGTCACCTTACCACGTGCGGTCACAGGGAGCTCCTGCGAGCCCGTCTGCGCCAGGAGCTGGCCGAGCTGAGAGAGAAGCTGGCTCCGTCCCCGGTCCATCTCGCCTCCACGCTGGCCAGTATGAGGGAACGCCTGGTCCCACTCACCCAGCAGCTCCACAACAACACCCACCACCTGTGCCACCAGGTCAGACTGTACCTGCATGGTCTGAATGCAGCGGAGACCAACCCGGATCCGATTGCCCACCACTGGATGGCACAAACGCTGGAGCAGAGCGCCTCCAAACTGGCTGACATCATGGCTGACTTCATGGCTAAAATCAGAGAGCTGACGGAACGCCTGAGGGAGATGAGTGAGGCAGAGGCAGCTAATGCAGGAATCTGGCAGGGATTTAGCTCTAGGCTAGAATGGGAAGTGACTTCACTGAAGATGAAAGCGCAGAATAGTCTGGAGGCTCTTAAAGTAGACCTCGCCGATCAGTCGCCAACTGCGCAGCCTCTTGAGGCCGCGGTGGAACGCTTCTGCCAGGATTCAGCACAGCAACACCAAGCCTTCCAAGGCAGGATTGAAAGGCTGATCGTATCAATGGAGGAGGAGTTGGATGTCCAGTTCAGTTCTTCCCACGCTGAACAGCCTGTTGGCTCATTGCAAGACTTCTCCATCAAACTATCCGCTCTCATCCAGGACATTTTGCATTCGGTGCAGTGACACATCATTGTAGAGACTATAAATTGAGACACCGTGGCCTTCCAATTGTTTGTTTTGCACATTGTTGGCTCACAACATCGTGACCAACATGGACATAAATTCTTCAAAGAACTGGCTCAAAAGTAACCCAAAGTGGATGAAATAGCTAACCCTGGGTTCAAAAGAGTCAGAGACAATGCTGCGTCATTGATATCCAGCATAATGGGTTGAGGAGTTGTCCCAGCACTTTGGCTAAAGAGTTTGATGCAATACTACCCATACTGATGAGTTAAAGCTTCCAACAAATGGGTCACAAGGTTATCAGTATAGCTGTGGTTAAAAATAATGGAAAAAAAATGTTATTTCCAACATTTTCTAAGAAGACAAAACAACACGTTTCCCCTGTCAGTTCACCAAAGTTCATTTTTTTCCCCCAGATGCCCTTTCTGATACAACCTGCCCAGTTTTCATGCGTTATCAGTATAGCTGTGGTTAAAAATAATGGAAAAAAATGTTATTTCCAAAATTTTCTAAGAAGACAAAACAACATGTTTCCCCTGTCAGTTCACCAAAGTTCATTTTTTCCCCCAGATGCCCTTTCTGATACAACCTGTCCATTTTTCATGCGTGCCTCTTGAGGCCGCGGTGGAACGCTTCTGCCAGGATTCAGCACAGCAACACCAAGCCTTCCAAGGCAGGATTGAAAGGCTGATCGTATCAATGGAGGAGGAGTTGGATGTCCAGTTCAGTTCTTCCTACGCTGAACAGCCTGTTGGCTCATTGCAAGACTTCTCCATCAAACTGTCCGCTCTCATCCAGGACATTTTGCATTCGGTGCAGTGACACATCATTGTAGAGGCTATAAATTGAGACACCGTCGCTTTCCAATTGTTTGTTTTGCACATTGTTGGCTCACAACATCGTGACCAACATGGACATAAATTCTTCAAAGAACTGGCTCAAAAGTAACCCAAATTGGATGAAATAGCTAACCCTGGATTCAAAAGAGTCAGAGACAATGCTGCGTCATTGATATCCAGCATAATGGGTTGAGGAGTTGTCCCAGCACTTTGGCTAAAGAGTTTGATGCAATACTACCCATACTGATGAGTTAAAGCTTCCAACAAATGGGTCACGAGGTTATCAGTATAGCTGTGGTTAAAAATAATGGAAAAAAATGTTATTTCCAAAATTTTCTAAGAAGACAAAACAACATGTTTCCCCTGTCAGTTCACCAAAGTTCATTTTTTCCCCCAGATGCCCTTTCTGATACAACCTGTCCATTTTTCATGCGTGGACTTTCCGCCCTGACTGGGATTTGAATACCAATTCATCCATCCATCCATTTGCTAATCCGTTTATGCACACAAGGGCATGCTGGAGCCGATCCCAGCTTTCTTCAGGCAGTAGGCGGGGTCGCCCGAACTGGTCGCCAGCTAATCGCAAGGCACACTCAGACGAACAACAATCCACGCTCATACTCACACCTCGGGACAATTTAAAGTGCTGCATTAACCTGCCATGCATGTTTTGGGAACGTGGGAGGAAACCAGAGTACCTATGAGATAACGCACGCAGGTACGGAGAGAACCACCTGTCGACCATTGTGCCACCCTGAATCCCAATCCTTTTGTTCAAAGTCAGTAGTGCTACCCACTGAGCCAGCCAACTGCAACACACCTCTTCTATGAATGTTTAATTAATTTCAATTTATTTCAATTCAGGACACAAGCCTGTCGAAAATGGTGAGCAGCTTCAGCTCTTCAGCTCACCCAAATCTTCAACTCAGTGTCCTGGGTCAAAATAATTAAGCCAACCTTGGGTACAAGCAAGCCAATCTGCTCAAAATTCAGAGATACCAAACAAGTGGGTGAGGAAAACAACCAAACATTTTTAATGTGTACTAATGAAGTGTCAGAAGAGTTCCCGGATTGATGTTATAAAAGATATGTTTCAAATGCAAACTACAAATTCTTCCCTTAGAGGTTATCCATCTAAAGCACTTTACCAACCACCAGTGCCACGCCCTCATGCACTCCTAGAAGGATTCTTGCGGGATCCTCCACAGCTCCGTCATCATGGCCAACTTGATGTTGTCCACCTCTTCAAAACAGGTCCCCCTGATGACTACCCTTGAGCATTTAATGAGAAAATTCATGGTTTGTAGTTTTGGGTTTGAAATATATATTTTTTTCTGACACCAGTCTCGGAATTTTTCCGGCACAGTTCATAGTATATGTTTGTATTCTGTTTCGTGTGTTCTCATAGGAATCTAGTAGTATTTCCTAGTTACACACACACACACACACACACACACACACACACACACACACAAAAACAAAAATAAGTGACATTTCATAAATGCAGGCACACGTGGAATTTTGTCGTGAAGTTTTTAGTGAAGGCTTGTCAATTGTTGTTGATGTTTTTTTTAACAATTTTATACAAAATACCTGTGATTTCATGCAGCACAGCAAGCATGTAGATATGAGTGATGTAAAAAGGTAGCAATTCATTGATATTTGTATCTTATATGTAAAATATCCTTCGACCAAAAAGTAAATAAGAAACTTTTTTTTTTTGTCAATAATTGTTCTGTGAATATTTTCTATGTTACTGTAAATAAACTTGTGGAAACTCATTAGAGTTGTTGTTTAATTTTAATCTCAAGAAAATAGACACTGTACAGCGTAAATGAATAAGACAAAGTTCAAGTACAGAAGATCTTCTGACTAACATGGCCTTTGCTGTACCATTTAAACAAAATATTGATCTGCCATATTATAACAAACATACAATCGTTTACAGATACTTGGAATTGGGCTTTCAAAATATCCTTGAGGCACATGCTGTTTCATCGTGTTGAAAAGCCAATTTTAAAACAACTTTCGATGCCGATTTACCGTGTCAAAAGACAATTTTCAAAATTCAATTTAAAATTATTTGACAAAATGTGCTTATGTACAAACCGTGTGCCTGAAAATATAACATGGATATCAATACTAGACATGATATATTTACTACCGTGTTTTCCGCACTATAAGGTGCACCTAAAAGCATTCCATTTTCTCAAAAGCCGTCAGTAATATTATAATCCAATGCGCCTTATATAGGGGTCGATATTCTGATTTCTAGGGCATAGTATTGGAAATGTTCTGTCATGCGCTTTGTTCCGGCTGCAGCGGTGGTGAAAGCGCTCTATAAATAAAGCGTAGCTCCATCTAGTGGATGCATAAAGCAAACTCAGCCATTATTGTGGCTTCTATTTTTTGCACCTTATAATACGGTGCGCCTTATATAAGAGAACAGTTTTCAAATAGGCCATTCCTGGAAGGTGCGCCTTATACTGTGAAGCCCCTTATAGTGCGGAAAATACGGTACATTGATTTCTGAGATTCAATAAGAATATTTTTTTGTGACAAAAATATATCTTTTGTTGTAAACATAATATAAAAAATTGGTGTCAGTTGAAGGTGCGAGGTAAGCGGCCGGCCCAGCAAAACTTCTTCAATACAAACCAGCCGCCAAGGACCAGCACAACGGACGCGGCAGAACCAAACACAACCCCAACTATGAGGCCTGTCACATTTAGGTCATCCTTCTGTGATGCCAAATTGTCGCCTGATAGCATACAGTAGATCAATAAAGTTTATCTACCTCCAAGCTGGATGTGTATATCTAAAGCTACATATACTCACGGTAGGCTTCTGCTGCAGGCCTGCCTGTTAGTGCGAAAAGAAGGAAAGAATGCAGAAAAAAGTCAAGAATTTATCATTGGTAGACAAGTGTAGGCAAGCGGGAAGCAGTGGCATCCAAACCTTCTCCGGAGGTGTACAGCGGTCCGATTGAAAGAGTGGCTGAGTCTCTTCCCTCCTGTCCGAAAGGGGTCAAGGACCTTTTCTTTCTGCTGTTACAAGCCTGAAGAATAAAAATAGCCCTCATGTGTCAAATATATTTTGTTTGACATCATCTTAGAAGTTTTGAAAATGCAAAAAAAATACATTTTGGCAGGCAGTGCATTTGGGACGGGGGGCCTTCAGTGGGGACGGACTTAAAGTTACCTGACTCACCTATGAACACCAACTAATATAAGGCTCTGACCTTTGAGATTTATTAAAAAAAAAAAAACCTTAACTGTGAGGCGATTGCGCTAAGCACAAGTCTACTGTAGTTCCCTCTACCATAGGCTAATAATCCTAATTTGGATCAATGCATTTTGAAACTTTAAGAGCCAGAATTTTGTTATCAGGATTTAGGCATTAGATAGAACAAGCGACAGCCTTCAGTTAAAAAAAATAAATAAATAAAAAATACATTTTCTACTCACGTTCAAGAGTTCTTCACATTTGGTGGGCTCACAGAGTCTGAGAATACAATGTAGGTAGATGCTGGACTTGGTCTGCTCGCGGTGTTGAACGAAGCGGAAGGCCTCAAAGTCAAAGCGGGCAAATTTGGAGTTTCCGTTGGTATTTATTGTTGCCCTTTGGTCAACTGAGCACCTGGTGGAGAGAAAATATTTATCTGTATAAATGCAGAGTTGATTCCAAGCAAAGAAGAGGAGAAATTGCCCAGGCCAGATGCATGAATTGCAGTGTAAAATGTCTTCTGTCTAACTCTGCTGTTACACTTAAATAAAAGCTCTTTACACTAAACAATACAAGCTCAAGTTATAATCACAAATGAACATGCAATTGCTATAACTTCGGGCAATGAGCCACATGCTGCTGCATCAAGTCTAAACACAAAATCTAGTATCTGATCATATATAGGAGCATGTTATGGTGAATATCCGAGCAAGACCCATATTATAACACAAGAAAAAAATCATTCAAAGTAAATCCAGACATTACACTATATGTCCAATTCTTTTATATTGGACTCTTCATTCAAAACACTTGCACAATTGAAAAACATTAATGCGCCGCATCTGACGAGCATGTCAGTGCTCTCCGAACGTGCCAATCAAAACTGCTCATGAATCATCTCTCTTAGATTGTGCAGCGGTTTCAAACGTTGGAAGTACATGAAGCCATCTAAGAGTTTTCTGCCATCGTACCCGGTGAAGAAGTTGTGTTGCTCAGTGTGTGACGCATTATAAGAGGTGGGAGTTCCGAAGCAGTGATCCATCAGCACATGGAAGCTGGAGAGAACAGACCAATCAGTTACAAAGAATAGTTTGTATTGTGTCTTTGATTTTAGAACATCTAAGAGCTTTTTTGCCTACTTTCCAGTCAGGTTCACAGCTTTTACTTCCACGTAGACCCTCGTTCGCAGCTGTAGACCTGATGAAGGGACGATTAGCGGATAGCCATAGTCGGAGTCCTGCGGATAAACAAAAGGCAGAATAAGTCAAATGGAGATTAATTTTGCAGTCACACATCATTACCGATACACTGTGCAACAAATCAACTTGACAAAGGTTGGCCTCGGCCATCAAGTGTGCCCGATGCCTTTACTTACTTACGTTATAAACATTCATTTTTAGTGTGTCAATGAAGCTTCCATTGTTGTCACTTGTTGCCACAGAAACCGAAGAGCTAAAAAGACACCCCAGAAAAAAGGGCAAATGAATCAATCAAGAAACAAAGGAAGCTGTTCATACTCATGGCCTGATTTTTCTAAGATCACAAATGGTGAGCAGTAAATGACGTTTGCTCTGACAGATTGCGCAAAGATGTGAAAGTGGTGGAGACCAACATATTTAAAAGAATTTTGCACATTGGAGAGCTCACTCGAAAAAAAATTCTGGCAGAGGCCAGCACAAATTGCCACAGTGCGCTAAAATTACCCAGACACGAGGAAGTACCAAGTGGAAAGAAGTTTTGCTTCAGCTGAGATGGCATGACTCCTTCTTGTGACTGGCTCCTAGTCAGCCCGAAGAAGCTCCAAATATGCATTGCTGAATTGAGAATATGTTGTGATATTATTTGTTTATGGCATTTAAAAAATGTTGACACAAATGGAAAACCTAAGTTCTCCCAATTGCCATTCATTTTGCCATCTCATCACAGTAACGTCGTCATCGTTATGCCCAGCAGTGGCGCTTTGCCTTTCACACTGCGCGGCTCCAAATATGTTTGTGTGAGCCATTAAATCTTGCCTGTCAGATTTGTCAGACCCAAAGCCAGAGGTTGCCATGGTTACTCACGCCACAATCTGTGTGTTGTTGATAAGGTACTCTAAGGGATAGCGGCAGGAGAAGTGGTAGTAGAGGTCAGTGGTGTAGCTGATCACCCCCTGCTCGGATCTGGGGGTGTCGATGAAACCCGTTATGATGACCGACTGGATGGTGAGGAAGTTGCTGAAGGGCCCGGTCGGGTCAGGGGTCTCGTCCACAATCTCAACCAGAACATATGCAAGACAGTCATTCAATAAGTCATATATTGTTGATATGGATTCTGCAGATGATTCACTCCTCTAAATTAAATAAAAGATAAATATTGGAACATTCTCCTGTCCACCCAGATCCAGCAAATAGTTTTGTTTTGTTTTTTTTGTCTCATGCAGACTGACTACTGCATCATTCAGGCCAATCATTTTCCACCAGAAATGGTTCTGACCTGCAGGGACTGTCGACAAGGGTTTTGGTCGCTGTGGTTGACCGGAAGTTGATAGCGAATGATGGGAGGGTCAACGCTGGAGTCAACGGAGCCCTGGCAGTCTGTGACATTGTGCTTTCCGTTCAGCGCCATGGTTGACGAGTTGAACCCCGCCCACTGAGCTGTGCATAGGTTGATCTCCAACGTGATCATGGTGGTGCCACAGTCAACTGTCAGGTCTGAGCTTTCTTCATAAACATGACAAGGATTATTATTATGAGCAGTCGTAGTAGCAGTGGTGGAGACACTATGCCAGCAAGGCCTTCTCTGCTGGTCTATCAGAAGCACAAACCTAAATTTTAAGGCCAAATTGCTACGAGTCAATTCCTACAATGCAATGTGATTGCGGTGGTATTAATGGGCGGTTTAAGTCTGGAAAATCCCCACTGAAGGAAACAAATACCCAGCCTGCCACTAAATTAGTCACAGTAGCAGAAGTAATCGTGGGAACACCTACCTGGGATCCTCTCATACTCAGAGGAGCAGTTGTAGAGGCAGAAAGTGGGATGCAGAAGTATGGCCAACAGAGGAAAACAAAGGGGAAGAGAAGTCATCTTGTTGCAATGCAGCATGTCAGTCGTGTGCACTGAGAAGGAACAACATTGCAACAAAAATGTTATTGATGTATGCATAGTATATCACAGGAAATGCACATAAATATTATTTGGTTACCTTATTTCGACACATGCAAAGGGGAAAAATGTCAATAGCATTATTAAATATGCACCAAATATATGCATGGAACTAGTTGTTGCCTCAGTCTATCATTCATTGTCACAGTGTCACCATATATGTGATATCATCATACTGAGGTGTGTTTTTCATATGTTGGCTACTTTATTTAAGTACAAAATATACTATAATGATCTAATCATACTGACAGTGTTAAATGAAGTGTCATGCACTTAATCATGTTATATTCATTTAATTTACAAACCCAATTCCGATGAAGTGGAGACGTCATGTGAAATAAAAACAGAATACAATGATTTACAAATTATGTTCAACCTCAATACTTAATTGAATACACTACAAAGACAACATATTTCAGGTTCAAACTGGCAAACGTTATTGTTTTTGGCAAATAATCATGAGCGTTGTTTTATGACAAATCATTGTAGTCTCTTTTTATTTGTCAATGTAGTTCACTCAATGAAAAAAAAAAATTGTATCAATTTTTTAAAGGATATATATATATATATATATCCTTGTGTGAGTCTTACCTCTGTGGTACCTGAGCAGGAGTTTATCTGAGCCTGTCAAGCAAAGTAGCTTTTATAGGATAACACATCCTTGAGATACCTAAAACCTCGAAGGCATGTCAAACTGCAATTGCAGTTGCAATACTATGCAGAGCTGTAAGGAGATCACAATTGCCAAAAGCTATAAAGTGCACAACCAAACAGGCCTAACCTTTTGGTAATTTCCCCTGCATGTCAAAACTCACTTTTGTCTCTTTTGTAGGTGGATGGTGGGTAGTGCCCATAGCTACAGGGAACATCATCGACTGCTCAAATGAGATGTGTCATTGTTCACAAGAGGAAGACAAGAAAAGGAGGATCAGTATGCCTGTGGTGAGACGGGACATTTGTTACACTATCCACAAATCACGTCACTCATGATTTATGGCCTAAAACTCATTGGCACAAAACCCCTGAAAATATCATATCTCTCGATGCTGATCACACTATACGTTTCTTTCTTCTAATAATCCCATTGGCTAAAGGGTTATTTAAAGTTAGTTATTTGTGCTGGGACAAAATGTCCAAAGTCAGATAATTATAGTGAGAAGAACAAATAGCAATGAATCATAAAGACTTAAGTGAGATGGATGATACTGATATTATATAACAGATTAGATGGTGTAGTTCCTCATAAATACAAGCACGAGATGTGATATGTAATGGAGGCAAGGCCAAAGGGATGATGTTAAACTGATTTGGATGGGAAAAAGATACACTGAGATGTTGACACAAGATCACCTATATGTACACACTACATCAAATGCAACCTTTTTCAATTACAAAAATATTACAGGAAAAACAAAAATAAAGTTATTATGCCCAGAGACATATTCATACTCATCAACAAGCATGTTAGCCTCACGGTGGCCCTTTGAATGGGTGCTCTGCTGCTACCTAGTGGCCATAAGTAGACCATACGGAACAAAATAACGTGTTCTGTCTCAAAAAAGTTCTTGGACTGGCGTCACAAATAATCTCGTGTTTTGCTCACATTGAAAGGGAAAATTTACGGAGCCCCTCAGGGGACATGGAAGAAAAAGTTTTGCGAAGGAATGCAAAACTTTGCAAGGGAATGCAACACTTTGCGAGGGAATGAAAAACTTTGTGAGGGAACGCAAAGGGTTTTTTTTTCCTTCCATGTCCCCTTAGGAAAAAAAAATGCGTTCCCTCGCAAAGTTTTGCATTCCCTCGCAAAGATTGCGAGATCTCGTCTGGGTAACCGAAAACAACAAACATGGAGCTGTTTATGGTTACCCGGACATGGTGTGGTGGACATGGTGGTTGTAGTCGAACATATGCTAAATGTTAGCTGATTTAGTACCAACTGTACAACACCGTGGCAACCTCTTCATGTCTGTTTTATTGGCATAAATGACTTGTAAGAGAAGGCAGCCCAGTGGGCCAGTGGTTAGCGCGTCAACCTCACAGTGCAGAGGTACCGGTGTGGAGTTTGCATGTTCTCCCGGGCCTGCGTGGGTTTTCTCCGGGCACTCCGGTTTCCTCCCACATTCCAAACACATGCATGACATGCTAATTGAACACTCAAAATTGTGCCTAGGTGTGAGTGTGAGTCTCTGTGTGCCCTGCGATTGGCTGGCAACCGGTTCAGGGTGCCCCTCGTCTACTGCCCGAAGACGGCTGGGATAGGCTCCAGCACCCCCGTGATCCTTGTGAGAATAAGTGGATCAGAAAATGGAAGAATGGATGGATGGACTTGTCAGAGAGGTTACACAAACACTCAACAATCAGTTGCTCCTCAATTCGTGGCAACTGAATTAGTTTCAGGTCACATCATTAGTGGCTACCGTTCCATTTCATGTCACGCCATGGAGTCGACTCTGTCCAACTTTGTGTTTACAATGCACAGAAACATTTGTGATCATATACATTTTCTCATCAAAATGGGAAAGAAAAATGTCTTTTAACACACCCTGTATCATCGAGTATTTTGTTATGTTATGTTAATGTTGGTCACTGAGTGACATTATCAGAGCATTTTTTGGTGGTACAAAAGTTTTGAGAACAACAGACATTCTGCAATTTGGCCTTTGGTGACTTTATTCAGAAGGGGGGAAAAATGCTGAAATTTGGCTTGATTATTGGTATGGGTGTACAACTCTAGGATAAGAAGGATGCAAAAATAGAAATGCGTCTCACTGTGATGCATTCCAGATTATATTAAAACCATGCATGATCTTTTTTTTTAACTGCTTGTGCGGCTTTGTCCTCTCTGGGCATGATTTGATTATGATGCATGCACATGTGTTTGTCATGTGATGAAGACTTAGTTTGGCGTGTTTCTCATTTCCGTTGTAAGGTCACTGGTGGCAGAAACACACAAGTGATTGTTGGCGCCTTGGTGGAATGTATCTCTAATTTCCCAGAAGGGTGCCAATGCTGAAATGTGCAGAACTCATGTAAGGGTTACAGAAGAAAGACAAACTAGGTCAAAGATCCTCAAATAGACCGCTTTGTTTTTGGACCCTGACCTATTATTCCATTATTTTGACAAACAATTTCATCTGTGTCTCAATTACACCACTCTTGTTTTGCAAACGGGAAATAAACACACAACAGACTGATCACATGTATTGTAACTACAGTATTCCCAAGTGAGACAGCTCAGCCAGTCACATTCTTTATTCTGAGCAGTTGTACGAGTGGGTGTGTGCAAAGTTCGTTTTTCATTGATGTTATGCTTTAAAACAACAAAGGAGGAAAGATCAGCGGTGTAAAAGTCGACGCCCCTCTGTCCTCATCCTCCGACAAGTTTTAAGGCGTAAAGTTAGGCACCTACTTTGGCACCTACTGTATGTACTGTCGCACAAAATTGCGAAATTATTTGGTAGCCTTTTCTTTTTTCACCGTGAATCCCACCCATGTGCACAATCATGTGCCAACCAGTTCATTGTGCGTCGTTCGAAACTTGACATGTAATGTGCTGCTTTCCTGAGGACATCGTACTGCGTACCCTCAGTCGGCCGCCTGTACGCCTGTACATTTCTGAGTTATGTCAGAAAAATTCCAAAAACTGGTCCTACAAAATATTTATTTCAAACCCAACCTACAAAGTACGAGTTTTTACGGAGCCCCTTAGGGGACATGGAAGGAAAAAAATAACTTTGGGTTCCCTTCGCAAAGTTTTGCGAGGGAATGCAAAATTTTGCGAGGGAACGCAGTTTTTTTTTTCCTTCCATGTCCGCTTAGGGGCACCATAGAAGGAAAAAAAAACTTGATGTTCGCTCGCAAAGTTTTGCATTCCCTTGCAAAGTTTCGCATTCCCTCGCAAAGATTGCAAGATCTCGCAATCTTTTTTTTTTTTTTTTTTTTTTTATGCGCGGTTGATGTACAGTACTTCCGAGTCATTGTCCGGGTAACCGAAAACAACAAACATAGAGCGTTTTCACCCGTTGCTGAGTTTAATCGAATTTTACTTTGAAATTGGCTTGAAATACAAATGGCTACATCTGGGATAGGTTCCAACATCCCCACGACCTTCCAGAGGATAAACGGTTCAGATGATAGATTGATGGATGTGTGATTACTTCACATTTAAAAGTTGGAGGGTGTGTGTCCCGCTTCAAATCAAAGTATTTGATGGCATGATGTGCACTTTTGCACCATTGCAAGTAATCACTCTAATCAATAACAGCTCTTGTGTTGTCTCTCTGTGGCCAATGAGTGTTTACAAGTTGCTGCTTCAATATGGATATAGTGCTGAAACAGAGTTGAATTTATCTTAATCAGATTACTGAAAATCTAAAACATAATGTGTAGTATTGTAAGATCAATGCCAGTTTATATGGACATCTGTGTTCAATTTTCTTTTCATCCATATGCGTGCCACCTTTTATTCAAAGGGAAAGCCAGATTTATTTTTGATGAATCACAGTTTAACCTCGGTTCCATAATCCTCAATACTGACGAGCTCGGTCTTATTCTGGAAATTAAGTCACACTGCCTGGAGACCAAAGAAAAGCAAGGAACAGGAAGTATGAAGGTCAAAAAAAAAAAAAGATTTCCTCCATTTCCTCTGGATTCCTTCCTGTCCAATGGTCAATATACACTTGGTACAGTACACTTCTACCATTCTCTCATCACAATTTCTATATTGATTGCAGGTTTTTGCTGTTGTGGACGGGGTTGACCAGATGTGAGCTGAATCATGCGTTTGACAGCAGATCAGCTCTCACTTGCACTCTTAACGCACTTCATTGCTGCTTTTCAGGTCCAGATTGCCTCTGTTCTCTCCGTGTGCTTTATTTCTCCCAAGACGGCATTCACTCATTCTGGTCTGTGTTGGGGTGAAGGATCTGAGTACGTATCAGCACCCAAACAGATGAAGGTTTATTTGAGTGAACTGTTAGTATATTAATTTCTAACTACTGTATGTATGAATCCACGTGCTTATAGTTCACTTTGTATAACCTACTGATTCCTATAAAAGGGAATGATCCAAAAGTACAGCAATGACCGAGATACCTTTATACGAAAAGAATAGCAGTAATTTTCAGGCGATATAGGATGTTTTTCCATCCGGTGTGTTGGACGAGGGAAACATCCAAAACATGCAGGACGGTGGCCCTCGCGGACCATCGTCAGACACCTGTGCTTTAGGTTGAAGATGTTTCCGCTGCCCTGTGTTCACTCTTTTTAGGCCTAACCGTTGAAACCTCTGAATAAAGAGAGGGGAGTGATGAAAGTCAATTATTTTCTCAGCCCACACCCCAGGAGAAAAAAAACACTGGTGTCATGCCTGATCTTTCCCGCCCATTGGACTCAATTGCTATTGGTGTTTTCATGTAGCCTATTTTAACTTTCATGGCAGTACATTACATAAGTGTTTAGAATTTGTGCCTCACAGTTCTAAAGTTTAGGGATAAACATAAAATTGTCAGGAAACGTCTACTTAAACAGCTGAGGTGTTAATGAGTGTCACTAAATGGTGGCAGGCGTCTGATGACTTGCGTTTAACGAGAGGTTTGAATGTGATTGATTAATTCTGAATACAACCACATCCCTAGCTATTAGAGGGATTTGTGCAATTACCTTATTTCAGTTGTTTTCCCACTCAAAAAGTTTTTTTCCCCGTTTCATTTGTAAAGGCTATATAAGTCACAATGTTGGAAATAGTTTTGGAAATAGTTATCTTTTTATATACTCCAAAAACCTGGTATTTGAATAGGGATGAATATGTTTGCTATTTTTTTTTGATCATTTGGTAATGTACGTGTTTCATGTTTTAACGATGAACAACAGGGATGCGTGTTGAGATGATCACAACGTCATATGAAAAGTGAAATTATGTTTTTTCGTGCTTTGTCTTTTTAAATAGAAGGGGGAAAAAAACTTGGTGGTCTCATTCCCCCCTCCCTCAGTCAGACGCCATGTGCACGACCCACTTTTCCATCCCTTCCATCACATCTCATTGCCAGTCTTGGTTCGCCCTTGCGCGTGTGCGTCACGGGGTACTTTTTATCCAAAAAGAACGGCGCTATTCAACATCTTCGGTTGTTTTCGCAAGAACAGCGCCGCAGCACACCGACGTGAACATGTCGAGATGGATTTTATGAGGCTGTTCGGCGCCCTGATCGCCTTCCTCTTCCACTACGGGTGCGCTTCTAAAATCAATGGTAAGACGCCAACACTTTTCACTTGCTTTACTCCCGAGTTTCTTAGTTATTGTCACAGTTTCATACGGCTTTGTACAGAAGACGCGTTCGATGCGTCTGCTGAGATTTAACATATTTGTAAGAGGACCCGAGAGGAGGAAAAAGCCAGTCGGCCTCGTAATTATTAACAGGCGGCGCGTGATGTGGAAAATATCAACAGCCACATGTTGTTTTCGTCTCAGCGGCTCAGTCAGGAGGTCCCATCTTGAGTTCGACTAAACAGCTTCAGCGCTGACGCCAGTAGCAGGAAATACTCCAAGTCACTCGTGCAATTGCTTTTGTACTAGTTTGAATACAAGTGAAATATTTGGGCCCGAGCTGTCAAGCCAAAATCACAGATTAAATCGATCATTGTTGTAAAGGCATGGACTCTTCAGCCAAAAGCAATATAAAAGTTGCACAGACAGCTGTCTATCCTTCACACTAAAGTTATTATTGTTGGACAAAATATCCAAATCTTAGGAAAGTTGGGGTGCATCAACTCTATTTCTCTCAGACTATTAATGGAATATAGTTGTATCCTAAAGTTTTAAAATTCGGGAAATCAACCACAGTTTGCAATAAATATTCACCTCTAAAGTTGCACCAAAGTCAGTGTTTCAAATCGTCATCAGAGGTGATTGGAGTTGCTCAAAATTATACACGCAGTTAAGCGTGATTGTTACTTTAAATTATTACTCAAAAGTAGTCCACCATAGATTTACTTGACTAATGGTAAGTATTGACTGAAAAAAATACTCAAATACTTAATAACTGGTGAGTAAAATCTGTTTGATTTCAGCACATGAGTGTCAGATAAGATGGAAATATTAAATTGAAATATGCAAATTAAAATATTGCCCAACAATATCACTGTAGATTAACATTTTTTAAAACAAACATACTAATGTAAATCTTGTCACAATAAATGCTGTGTGTTTGTGTTTTCTGTTTTTTTTTAATGAAAAGCATAATTGCATAAGTAATTAAAAGTAAGTAAAAAGTAAAAAGAGTTCACTTTTAATTACTGGATCGCTTTCTTGAATGAGACTTTCTCTTTTTCATGTCATGTTTTCTTGCACTCAAAGTGTCCAAGGAAGAAGCTTCTTGGACAGAGCAATCATCAAATTGGTAGTTTAAAACGGCATTGATGTTTGTGATCAATATGCACATTGGAAGGCAACAATGTTCATGGTATTGTTTAGGTTTGTTTTAGGGGGAAACATTTTTTTAAGGGGTTATACTCTGCTATTTACCCAATGCCACGAATAAAACTATACAAGGGGAAAATATGAGAGCAAAAGAAGTAATAATGATGACATCGCACATTGGTAATACATGTTCAATCACGTTGGTGAAGATCTGATGTCGACCATCTCTTGTGCATATTTCGTCGTGGTTTCTGGGGACTGCCATGATAAACCCCAAGACTGAAGCCTGAGGCGGCAAATGGGTTTTTCGATCATGACCAGATGCAACCTTGAAATGTATAGGTGACCTCATATTTGGGAATCCCTAATTTTATGATAGTAAACATCAGTAAACATTCCTTGTCACATAAAAAGTTGTATTTTGCAAATGTTTACTCTCCTTGTATTGCTTGAAACACTGGGCTGTGGTACTCCGTTTTTTGGGGGGGCTCTGAATAACGAACGGCACATTTGAACAACATTGTGTGTTTCTGAATTCTCTGAGTGAAGCAGTGCATTCAGAAGGTTTCCGAACGAACCCACAATGAGCAAACAGGAATTTTGAGAATGATGACATCTCATGGTCTCGGTTTTTGTAAACCAAATTCCCCTTCAATTGAAATTTTGACTTAGAAGGAAGAAAAATTGCAAGGGAAAAAAAGCGAAATAGGAAAGTAAACTCACAATCGGTAAAGTTATGGTCTCAAATGAAAACCTCGCGATAGCGTGACGCCGCAATAACTGATCCATTAAGTAGCGAGGGAACAGTGCAAAGGCATTCTCAGTGCAGGACAACCCCATTTGGTTTCGAATTATGTCACCATGTGAGTGCCACAAGAAGCCTTAAGACAACAGTCAGCCTCTTGTTCTGTCCCTCATGATGTTCCTGTTCAGGGCAAAGGATCTGCCGGCGAGGGACGGAGCGCCCATGCTATAAGGTCTCCTACATCCAAGACAGCAGGCGGAGGCTGACATTCCAAGATGCCAGGCAGGCCTGCAGAGTGGATGGAGGAGAACTCCTCAGCATCGAAACAGAAAGTGAGCAGCGACTGATCGAAAGATTCATACAGCAGCTCCACGCCGCCGATGGAGATTTCTGGATTGGCCTTCGCCGCAGCCCACAGCGTTTTAGGACTGGCAACGCAAACCCGGGATGCCCCTCGCAGTACTACTGGCTGGACGGGAGCAAAGCAAAGTTCAGGTTTGTAGTCGTTTTCATAGATGCAACCTAAAAACGGTCCTTTCATGTGCTATGTTGTTGTTTCCACTGCTGTTTCAAGACTGATAACCGCAGACATTATTAGGGAAAATCTTTGGACTATAGCCCGTGTCATAAAAAAAAAAAAAAAAAAAAAAAAACATAACACACTATTGGTTTAAATGAGTCATTCTTGGAAGTAAATCCAGTTAGTTGCAGCAGTTTGAAAGAGCAAAAGTGAAATAACAAAAGAGGACAATGGGCAGCATGGTTTCGTAGTGCTGAGCACATCTGCTTCACTGTTGAGAGGTCCCGGGTTTAAATCTCTTCTCGGGCTTGCCTGACTTTTCTGTGGTTACTTTGGCTTCTTCCTATGCTCCCAAAACATGCATGTTAGGTTCACCACCGTCTCTAAATCAGTGCTGTCGAACTTACTTTTGTCACTTGCCACATGGAAGTTATTAAGGATGGGACCGCACTCTGTAAAAGCGAGGAGCATTCACAACGCTCTGCGCATTTCCATACTCCCTTATGGACCGCGCATTTTGTGTTTTGCAATTTGCTTTATATTCACGTCGTGGACGTGTGTGCATGCCTGATTTGAGTTGACCCACTCACAGTTGTAACTGTATCTGGCTTCAACTTACAGCTCAAAGAGGCTGTAAAATCTAAAACCACTCACTAGCACGAGCAGATGATTTGAAGAAGCACTGGCTTCATTCAAATCTCTGATGGGGATTAATTTTGGTTTCATCGTTGAATAGAATGATGAGAGAGTGAAAACATCTTACTGAGTGAAAACATCTTACTGAACCACCAATCACCACCTAGCCATGTTGCCCCCATGTGAATGGTTGTTTCTTGAAATGTGCCCTGCGATTGACAAGCAAGCAGTCCAGGGTGTACCCTGCTTTCTGTCCAAAGTCAGTTGGAAAAGGTTCCAGTTCCCTTGCTACCCGAATGAAGTCAAGTGCGATAGAAAGGAATGGATTAAATATAATACAGTTCAAACTAGGTTGAGCATTTGATCCCTGTGCCTTTCAGGAACTGGCACTGGGACGAGCCTTCCTGTGGTGGGGAAATGTGTGTGGTTCTCTACTACCAGCCCTCTGCACCACCTGATGAGGAAGGCCATTTCCTGTTCCAGTGGAATGATGACAACTGCAACACCAAGAACAACTATGTTTGCAAATATCCCAAAGGTGAGTTGGAGAATGACCGATACTAGATCAGAGCATGATGAAGATCCAAATTCCAATCTTCCTCAGCACCTTGAAGTAGAAAATTAGAGCAATCGGTATAAGAATTTGGAGGTTGCACTATACAGTAAGTCGGTATAAGTGCACTGCAGTATGCTAAGACATTTCTACTCTTTGGATGAACTTCTGATACAATTTCATCTTCTGTTACAATTTCATCCATCCATTTTCTAATCCGCTTTTCCTCACGAGGGTTGCGGGCGTGCTGGAGCCTATCCCAGCTCTCTTTGGGCAGTAGGCAAGGGTACACACCCTGAACTGATTGCCAGCCAATCGCACAGCGCACATAAACGAACAACCATTCATGCTCACAACCACACCTGGGGACAATTTAGAGCAGGATTAGGCAACTCTGGTTCGTCGAGAGCCAACAATTGAATCACATGCATTGGAGTAGGGAGGGATCTAAAACAGGCAGGATATGGCTCTCGAGGAACCGGAGTTCCCTAACCCTGATTTAGAGTGTTCCATTAATCTGCCATACATGTTTTTTGGAAAGTGGGAGGAAACCAGAGTACCTGGAGAAAACCCACCCATGCATTGGGAGAACATGCAAACTTCACACGGGAAGGCTGCAGCCGGAATCAAACCCTGCAAATATGCGGTCTGAGGCGGACGTGCTAACCAGTCGACGCCGTGTCGCCTCAGTTACAATTTGACAGGAGCAAAATATTAGGAAGCCTCTATCCAGTATGGTACAGTGCACTCCTACATCATATCTAACTGTATTATTTTATTTTATATTAAATATTCTGTAAGGCACTTTGTTACAGCTGTAGCTGGTGGGAAGGTGCTATATAAATAAAGATGTACAGTATACAAATAAACCAATTATTTAATTAAAACTTCTAATTAATCTAAACTCATCATCAACATTGTAAAGGTTCCTCAAATGGAGTGTTTTAGCGTGCGCACGTGTAACTGTTTTGTGTGCAGAAAATGGTTTGAGTCATTTTGATGATTTGTTTTGTCTGCCATTATTATTGGGACTAAATCAGCATGTCCTCTCTTAATGTACAGTATGTCTAACTCTGAGTATCTTATTGTGTTGTTAAGGTACAAGCCATGTTGAATCCATAATTGCATGGTGTGCAAGTACTGACTGGACTGAACCCAATCACTCCTTTGTATTTTCAGTGAAGACGGCGGTATTTACCGAGGCAGGGAGACAGAACTCGGCACATGCAGGTACAACATGAACCACGTGAAGTCTGAGACCTCAGGGATTGATAATGCATTCAGACAAACATACAGTCTGTCCTTCAGTACACAGTACTGCATCTTGTGCTCATTTTACAACTTGTGACGCCTCTCTCCATGAACAAGGAAGTGCAACCACTCTTAACTGGATGAATACTTGTTTTTTTCTCCCCCACAAACGTGAAGTCATTTCTTTTTTTTCCCCCCCACAGTTCCAACTGTGATGCCAAATATATTCTTCACAACATCAAGTGGCAAGACGATTAAAGTCGGAATGCCTGAGTCATCAGGTTGGAAGAACACTTTTACTCTCTTACTCAATGTGTGACACTCTGCTGTTTACAGTTTTGAATAAGATGATGAAAGCTGTTTTTGCTCTCCTTTTTCAGTGTCTTTCTCCGACAACCCCCTGTTTCTTCCCTACATCCTGTACGCAACCATTCCGGCTCTACTGCTGCTGTTGCTTGCAGTTTCTGGCTTCTTCTGTTACAAACAAGCTAAGCGGTATGAACGAAAATACAACATAGTTGATTAACGTCACAAAAAATACTTCCCCTTTTCCACTTCATGGTACCTACACAGCAATACTCACTTTGAGTGCTTTTTTTGTCAAAATCCGGTACAGTGAACCCCAGTTATTGAGAGGGATACGTTCCAGATCCACCTGTGAGATGTGAAAATTCAAAGGTTCAAGCAGTGTTAGTGTCATACCAACACACATTTCCACATGATATGGCATGAAATACAATAACAGAGGTCTCAAGTTTTGGTCTGATGTCAGGGGTACAAAGCAGACTGTTTAGCAGTTTAACAGTCTAACGGCTTCCGGAAAATAACTGTGCCTTAGCCTGGTTGTGCTGCTCTAGATGCTTGGTAGTTTCCTGCCTGATCTCAAATCAAGAATGAGACCAAACTCAACCATGGTCAATCAAAACCATATAATGTTATATAACTCAAGTCTTTTGCTAACATGAAACATAATAGATAGGCTGACAGAAATTAGCATATATGTTACGGTAATTGTAAACCTGCAAAGCAGCATCACATATTTATAAACAGAACAAATCATAATACTCAGAGGAATACCTTCTCTCTGCTCTACTTGAATGATGACTATTACTGAAGTTTAGTTAATTAATCTACTGAATTCAAGGCTCTTATTTATGGGATCTGATGCACTTTTTTTCTACCATATTTCTTCCTATAATGATAATAGTAAGTTGTCTTTTTTTCTACCTTCAGGAGAAAGTCAGAGAGCAAAAGCTCCACTGGCCAACCAAATCCGTGGATGCCCACCGAAGCGTCATCTTGCCCTATTCAAGGACCCTATGCCTTTAGTGACATCACCAAACTTTCTCACCTCGTTCCGGACAACACCCTGCCAGCAGACTTCAAAACGAAATACCCCTGCGCTCCTACAAAGGAACCCCAGTGGAATGATTACGAGAATGTATTATTAGCGGACAGGGAGAGTGGCTTTGTGACTAATGACATCTACGAGACCAGCGGACCTCAGAGTCGACACTGTCGCCCTCAGCCTGGTTGGGTTGAAAATGAGATCTATGGGTAGGATGCTCCAGTCTTAGGCCGCCTGCCTGGTTCCAGCTAAGGAATATTACCCGGCCACGCTAAGGGACGCGGTGTTCTTTTTCCTCCTTTTGTCTTTTATGTCACATGACTGGTGCAGGTTACCTGAACATGTGGCTGTGACTGGAAAGTATATCCACTTTGTGCATCTGCATCCAAGGTCCTACAGTGGAACTAATAGGACTTGGAACTCTATTCATGTCATACTTTATAATATCGTATATGATGGACAGAATGTTGGAATACACCTATGGATCAATTAATCTATTTGTCCTCTTACCAAGACAGTCAAGACAAATATGTGCTTCCAAATTTGTGGAACTATATTGAGGAGGCTTATTTTTTCCCATACCACCATAACTGTAATGCAAAAAGCAAGGTCCAAAAACAAATTCCATTCCAGCAGAACTTGAGGTGATATCAACCACCTCTTGGGTGAAACGGATTGTGAACCAGGCCAACCATCATCAGTGACCTCACAAACCAATTTTTCTGGATAAATGGACACACTCCTATTTCACACAGCCTGTAAATGCCAGCACCTTTCCGAATTGGAGGCAGCATCAGAGACAGAACTGAGGCAAGACACTGTCACACTGCGAAACATACGATCCCGCCAGTGTAAAATGTTTGCTTCACGGAATCCATGACAGGTACCATACTTTCTTCAGCTGACAATTCCTGTTGTTCTAACAGCCAATACTTCTGTTCCTATAATGTATTAATTCAAATGTATTATGACTAATGAGGAAACAATTGTTAAACATGTAATTTTTTTGTATAATTGCGTCCATACTTGTGATGCTACCAAGCTAGCTATGCCCATTGAAATGGTATTATATCTGCTAAGGTCCACAAAAGCAGGTTTAAGGTCTCCTTGGCAGTGTTTTGTCTAAGGACAGTTTGATAGAATTAGAATCAGGTGATAGGAAAAGCCTCAGTCTTCTGTGACCCTCAACTCTGTGGCTGCCATACAGTTGATTAAAATACTGTGGTGCATTACAAGTTTAATTCACTCCATGGCACCGCTTGTAACTCAAATCACTCATATCTCAAATCAACGTTGCCTTTCGAAATGAATGGAAATGCCATAAAACTGTTTCAGTCCCTCCCCCAAAAAACATCTTCGTAATGTTTTTAACAGAGAAACTAGTACTGTATTGTACAATATGAAAACAAATACAGAAAAAAAAAAGATTTTAAAAAATAAACTCGTTTTATGAAGTATAATTAAGCTGAAAGTCACACAGCCACAGGACCATTAATATGTTATGTCTTGAAATGCGATCGCCTTGAGATAGCCTTGTAACTCTCCTCTAGCTCACTCTCTCTTCCCTGCGCGTGAGCTCCTGCATTGAGGACTGAGGAGGGTCCCCTAACCACCGAGATATCAGCGGATGCTGCGCACACTTTCCAGAGTTTCTTCATAGCACAATCACTTGCACGGTTCACTTTCCTGGGAGCCATAATGGGGGCTAATATACAGCGCACAGATGTTTGCACTGTGTGACAGAAAGCACAGTATTCCGTGTGGATGTCAGGAAGTATAGTTCGCAACCCGAGCAAAAATGATCCCCCCCCCCCAAAAAAAAATTGCTTGTGTTCGATTCCGGCTTGGGCCTCCCTCTGTGGAGTTTGCATGTTCTCCACATCCCTGCGTGGGTTTTCTCCAGGCATTCCGGTTTCCTCCCACATTCCAAAAACATGCATGGCAGGTTGATGGAACACTCTAAATTGTCCCTAGGTGTGCGTGTGCGCATAGATGGTTGTTAATCTCTGTGTGCCCTGCGATTGGCTGGCAACCGGTTCAGGGTGTCCCCCGCCTACTGCCCGAAGACAGCTGGGATAGGCTCCAGCACCCCCGTGACCCTTGTGAGGATAAAGCGGATTGGAAAATGGATGGATGGATGGAAAAACTGCTTGTGAACAAATTTGTTAGTGAACTGAGGTTCCTCTCAAAAGGTTCCCACTTAATTGCTCCTTCTTTTTCTGCGGGGAGCTTGACACTCACTTGTAACTTGAGTCATGTCAAAAAAGAAAAATTGTCAAAGCAACGGCGTATATCTCGAAAAAGACAAAAGTAGGTGTACCCGTGAGTCAAGATACCACTGTGAAATCCAAATGAATCCCTCCAACACCGTCTGCATGCATCAACCCCGATCCAAGGAGCAATAATGTCTGGAATGAGCGAGGCAGGTTATGCAATAACAGCTGTTTTTATTTTATTCATTTTGCTTCCAGTGGTTTACATTGTCCCCTTTTATCCATCATTTCTGTCGAGTTATGTAACTACAGTTCTGATTTCAAAGTGGCAGTGATTAACCCAAATATTCCGCCTTGTCAGCTTGCCTGCAAATGCACTTATTCTATATTTGGTTCAGCATGTTTTCATGGAAGGTTGTATTCATCTAATAAAACAAATCAGCAGGACGAATCTGGCCTTCTTCCTCTTAACCTGAACGGTGACGTCAGTTCAGCGTAAGGCTTCCTGTTTGAACTCTCGATGTCAAGGAACGGGACAGGACATGTATAAACACCGATGAGAGACCATAAGTGACCGCTGCAAAGCTCTAAGATGTGGTCTTTCCCGAATACTATTTGACAGTACGATAAACTTACGTGACACTGAACAGACTTAAGGAAGTTTTAAACGTGTCATGGGTTCACTCACCAGTGCGACTGTCACATAAACGTGTGCAATGAACTCTGATGTACGTGACTAGATGAGTGCTGTTTGGGTGTGCGTGTGTCATGGAAAGCTGCTACGAACCCAGTCAAGGAGAGGCTGAGTATGTTCTTGGAGAACGGTGGACAGGAAATGCCAAAAGCACATCTGGAACTCTTACATTCAGGAAGTCCGTGCGTGACAGCAGGAGACTTCGGAGCGCAAATCTGCTTGTCTACAGGCCACCGCTCAGTGGGAGACAACTGCTGGTGTAGGAGTGTGTGCTATACAGACATGACATGAAGGTTGGTTAGAGTTTTCTTTCCTATTTTTATTACCCACAATAACATCTCTTAATAATAAACATTTGTTCAACCATATAAACTTAACATCAATTTTCTGTTGTGCTCATCTTCATACAGTCGCAGGTGAACTATCCCAGCTGCCTTTGGGTGAGATGAGTCGCGGGGCACACCCTGCTCATGAGCCAACTGCAAGTAACTGCTAAACTCCTTAATACAGTGTGTATTTTTTTTTTCACCAGTTGCCTTCTTAAACAGTCATGTAATGTTCACTGAAGTTGACATTGTCCATAAGCGTGAATCAGGGATGTGCAGTCAGGGTAGGCAAGTGAGGCAGTACCCCCTCTGGCTAGCCATTTTCTGCAAAAAAAAAAAACAAAAAAAAACACACACACATTCACTTATGTTCCACTTTAGTTCTTTGATCCAGGCATTACATATTTTTTCTTTTTCAGTCAAATAATTCTCAATAATTTCATCATGAAAAAATGTGAGTGTTTAAATTTACTATGTGGGCCGTCCTAAATTGAAATGGTTAAATAAAACGGGCAAAAAGACACGGAGTGCATCCAGCCTCGACACAAGAAGTCACTGAGTGCTTCCAGCTGTGACACACATATGAATTGCCAACACAAGCAGTTGGCGCCAACCCTCACATTGCTTGTTGGCGATTAAATTGTCAATATACGTGATTTATCACACATGAATGTGCGTGATATATTTCGTTACTCTTAGGGCCAGAAAAGCAACTCAAAGTGCATGCTGGACCCCAGCCCAAATGCTTTGTTTTTTCTTTTCAAATATGTTTCAATGAAGGTCAGAATTTAAATACAGCTGACTCTCACATTTTGGCTACATATTTTTATATCTGACTCCAGAAGAACCCAAAGTCAGCTGGGATAGGCTCTGGTGCACCCAAACCCTGATGAGAATGTGCGCTATCGTGAATGAATGAATGAAAGACAAGTTGGTCCTCCGAGCATGATTTACCTCTGACCTTAAGCAGGGGCCACCGACGGGTAGCTCCCATGGACCAAATGAGGAGCCTAAGGACCTGTTTATTAAAAATAATAGATCACCAGAAACGGGCCATTGTTATTTTCTTTGAATGTTGCAGAAGTCATCATTTGAAAATGGAAACAACACTTGCAGGTAGTGACAGAAATAATGTGTGACCACTGCACCTGTTGTGAGCCTGTTCACCATGTTCGATGATGTAGCTACATCCCACTGTACAGTTTGTATTTGCTTTTATTTTTGATTTGTTTTACTTTGTTGCCTGCTGACTCTTGAAAATAAGAATCCGTTCTCAACTGCCTTACCCGGATAAACAAAGATTGAATAAATGAGGATCAGGGGTATAGAAAAACAGGAGACATTGTTGCAATTGCAATGTTTTGCCTGCAAGTGACGCTCTAATGTAGCTGACCAGGACTGTTTGGGCTGACAAATCATTTAGTTTCTTATAACGACTTGTGCCGTCCATGATATATATAAAGTTGTATATTTTGGGAGAATAGTTTGCTGTGCATCATAATTATCTGGAATACATTAGAACTACACTTACATCAGAAGTTAGAAAATTCAAAGACCACACAATGCACACAATGTTTGTACAGTACATGTTGCACAGTACTTTTTAATGCACGTGACAACAAGGCAGACGAAGGTCTCGCTGAAGTCTGAACATGATTAACCCTTTGGCGCCTAGCAAAAGCTTACGAAACACCGGCATGGACCCAGGCTGCACAAAAGAAAGTTACCTTTTGCGTGTGAGGCCCCCCGCCCCCACCACACACACACACACACACACGCACGGCACGCACACACACGCACACGAAATTTTACCGGTTGACGTAAGAGGTGGGTCTGGTTGTCGTGGCAACCAATTGGCACCGAAGTGTGGAGCTGCGCTGTTGCCCCGCCCCCTGTACAAATACCCCCATGGCTTTGACGTCAATGCACGTCAGGCGGAGAACATGATGCCTCTTTGCGAGGCAAGTCGTGTGCGCTGCCTGATAGAGGGGACCTAGAGCTGAAACATTAGAGGACCATTGTGGCCGCAGGAAGGTGACATACAAGGTTTGCCCCCAATCCACCTACGCCCCCCAAAAAAGAGAGACAGAGAAAGAAAATGGACCTCCTCGTGTCGCCGCCGCTTTGAAAGAAGACCCCGACAATCCAGTAAAGTCTATTTTTTAATGGACACGCTTCGAATGGCGGCGGCGACTGGTGGTTAGTTTGGCTTTTTGACCAGCTCAAGGAAGCCCGTGTGAGGACCACCCCCCACCTCCCACTCCAAGTAGCGTGTGTCCCAGCTTGTGTGGTTTTTGTTACCTCCTCGTCGTCCGCCGCCGAGACAGTCCCGTCGAGAACAGCATGGTCATGGCTGACAGCGTCCAGAAACCGCTGCTCCGGGGTCCGGTCCGTGTGGGCTTCTACGATATCGAGCGCACTTTAGGAAAGGGCAACTTCGCCGTCGTCAAACTGGCCCGACATCGCATAACCAAGACGGAGGTGAGTGAAAAGTGCGAAGTCGTTAGCTTGGAAGCTAACTTGGGCTACTGATGACTTGGAGACCCGAGTTCCATAACTTTTAGCCACTGCCATTCAGCAGTGCATGTGGCGCCGACATTGTGGACACAGAAACAGAAAGTAGATTCGGTGAAGTGTATGTTTGTTAGACCTCCGGTTGGCGGAAGGCTGACAGCGTGCACGCTTAACCCCGCTTGGCACATTCAACTGCCGGTAAGAGCAATGAGGCGAGCGCTGCTGGGAAACAAAGTGTAAACATGCTTGGCTGCGTGGTTGACATTCAATTGGCAACATTATTATCAAGATGTCCGGGTACTTTTTAAAATATAAATGTTTCGTTTATTTACGAATTTTTTGAAGCGATTGACATTTCTCTACGGCAGAGTGGACATGTCAAGCTTGAGTACGTGAAACTCAAGATAATATGATGAAAATTACAAAACACAAATGTTAACTATCGATTCCTTCAGCTCCCATTGACGAGACAACATGCTCGTAATATTCGTGACACATGATAGAATTCCTCAATTAGCGTATCATGACATAATGAACAGCACTTTCAGGGGCACATGCAAAACGTTCAATATGTCAATGGAAATAGAATACAAATGAAAAAACAACTCCTTCATCACATAACTTGTTCTAGACCACTATTGTCACACTCAAGACCCGGGCACCTTGTCACATCATTTTTTTTTTGTCCCCCATGAAAGTAAATTATGTGTGTCATCTTCCATTATTCTTGCTGAACTCTGTATCAAATTCCAAATTGTCATCTGTCATGAATAATGACTTTGAGATTTTGTTCAAAAATAGATAAATGGGTAGATATTGCGATCAGTTTTTCTTTTCAATTCTATTTTTTTACAGTTCGTAAAATGTATTAGTGAATAGTAAAATGAACTATTATCTATATAAGACTTCTGATTTCAGAACTAGTCACACATCAATTTGTTGTTTATATGTAAATGACATGATGGGGCGCTTAAATGTTTATATGGTTTCGCAGTCATATAAAAATGACGCCCCTACTCTAAACTGTAAAACCATGTACAAATGACCTCATGATTTTGATGAGCATACCGAAGGGTATGCCAAAAATGACAGTTCAGTGCGTACCCAAGTTTTAGGATCACAGTTCGGTGCACGCTTGGTACAATAAAGGAACAAAATGATAAACAAACTGCTTATCTTTAGTGGCAGATTAAATGACAAGTAAAAGAAAAAGCAGCAGATGAAATAATTTCACGTCAGATAGGTTGTCTTATTTTAAAGATTGAAGGATCAAAATAAGTGCAACAGGAAAGTTAAACAGTCTGAAATACTATGCTTTCAAAAGAAGATAATGACAGTCATTCCTTTAGCTTCAAATGGACACCCTGGGAGAAGCTGTTTCAATACTATAAGTCATGTTTGTCAAGGGCAGGGGTCGGCAACCCAAATTGTTGAAAGAGCCATATTGGACCAAAAAAACAAAAATGTCTGGAGCCGCAAAAAAATTAAAAGCCTTATATAAGCCTTATAATGAAGGCAACACATGCTGTATGTATCTATATTAGCTATATTAGCGTACTATCAAAATGGCTAAGTTGGCTACAAATACACAATGAGGCTTCATGATTAAGTTTTTTTTTCCTGCAGTGCATCTGGAGAGCAGGGATGCCCAACCTTTTTTGACCAAAGATCTACTTTTCGATCAACCAACCTCCCGTGATCGATCCATTGTGGCCTACGTCAATCAGATAATATTTACTGTTGAGAAGCTGAAATTTCTAGCATTTGGAAATTGTTAAATTTAAAAAAGGTATCTAAAAGATTAATCAGCTATCAAAAATAATGATCAATTAAGTTGATAAGCGATTAGTTGTCGATTAATGGTTGCACCAAACTATATCAAATACAATGCAGTTTAAGACTGCTTCCAATGTCGGTAGCTCACCTGAATTCACATTCTGCCATGCATACGTCACGACTCATAAATTCACAAGTTTAATTCTTTCTTGAAATAATTTTTAAGAGATTCCAGCTAAAGTATTTAACTGTCATTTTTTATAGTATCTTGTGAAAGCAGTTACACGGTTATTAAAAATTCGAGTAATGTTCGTTTCTCAGCAAATATTTTATATTCAAATGGCATTCCTTTTTTTTCTCCTTTCCTTCCTTGGGGCATGGCAAAGATGCTTAAATGTGTTTGTTGATGCTCAGTAAACAGTACGCAGGCCTGTATGGTAAATAAACGAGTTATTTGAATAGACATACTGCTCCATCCTGTGAACGGATCAGTGATCATGTTTTTTTTTTTTTTTTTAACTCACTGGTCATGCTCACAATGCCATAATATATCTGGCTTTAATCTATGTTTGAATTGTACACAGAAGCCAGCAAAGCAGGATATCATCACAACTGTGCTCAGATGCAACACTTGGATGTGTGGTGACCTCAACAGCACCATCGGCTGTGGCATGCGCATGACTTTTTAGAGAGCAACCAGTTTCTCTTAACAAGGCAGCGACAGACGTGCGAAACATTGCCTTGCCTTCCTGTCATTTCCTCATTCACGAGTGCCATCGTGCCTTAGTTAAAACTGTGCTACTACCCATGAAAGGAGAATAATTTGCAAGTAGAGCACTTCAACTTTCTGTCTTCTGCAGTGCCACCTGCACTTGTACTTGCTGTGGGAAATACCACCACTGTCGTGCTATTTAATGCCACGGTTGTTTTGGGTCTGATCCTCCCCGCCTTGACACACAGACACAGACACAGACACACACACACACACACACACACATACACACACACACACACACACACACACACACACACACACACACACACACACACACAGTTCAACCCTGTATTATTCAGCTCACAGTTACGATCCACTCATGATGGGCACCAATATTTTAATCTCAGGCTTGTGGAGGGGTTACGACCCAGGCAGTTTCACATAGCTTATGAGCAACACAGTTCTCCCATGCGGCCTGCAAACACCCTACGTGCGACTATGTACCATTACTGGTCCTGTTTACTTTTTTGGGTAGTTACCCACCATGTGCCCTGTACCTGTATATCTTTAATTGATGACCCACGAACTGTCACCATGTACCATGCATCTGCACGTTCTGTGATTATGACCCGCACAGCTCAGCTAGCAACCAAGCAAAGATCCTGTGTAGGGTGTAAACACAGCAATATCTGGGGCGAGCTTCATGGGTCGGTGGTCCTGTTATGTAAGCCAAATAATGACGTGATTTAGTGGTTTCTTCTGGCCTCGGTACTGAAGAGAAGGAGCGATCTGTTTTTGGGATGGGTTCTGCATGCATGCATGCACGTACGCATGCACGCAGTTCACTGACATTGCTGGATTTGACATTAGAAACACTGCACACTCTTAGACAAAGCAGCACAAGGAGGGGACAGAGAGCTGAGTTCATGTCGTCATCTTGCAAGGGAGCCTTTCGTGCATGGTACCACGCACACCCAGCTTCTAGCCGAAGACAAAATAGGCCATGAGACTTGCGAAAAAAAGCTTGATCTTTGATCACTGGGGCCTTTCCGCTGTTTATATCGTACCACGATTACTAAGGCGACAATCTTGGTGTATTTAATGACCGACATTGTTGGCCAGCGCTTCGTAAGGCTGTTCTCGTTCACCTGGTTGCTCAAGTGAAGGGATACAGCGATAGTCTCGCCAGGTAATTTGTAACTATGAAGCAGTAATCGCAGTGTTACATGCATGCCACACAAATGATACACCTGCCAATTTCACAGCCTTTTCTGCTGTGGTAGCCAAATCCTTCAGGTCACTCGCGACTGGCTGGCTCACAAGGCCACTGCAGCTGACCTCGTCTGAACTGAGGATTGTAAAAGGGTCGACTTTGTGTGATGCAACACAGTGTTTGAAACCGAAGAGAGGTTGGCCTGGTGTGTGTGTGTGTGTGTGTGTGTGTGTGTGTGTGTGCGTGTGCGTGTGTGTGTGTGTGTATAACCTACTTTTTGTCCATTCACATGCAATGAATTTGCTGTCTGTGGTCCCCCAGTCAGTCCCCTCAGGAGTAAGTCATCTTACTTCTGACCTTTGCATTTCCCCACCTTTTCTTCATATTTTATTTTTCTAACTTAACTTTCTATGTGAGTTGAATGCCTTTTCCTCAAGTGAACATGTGCAAAGTTCTTTGATTTGATTCTTTCAAGACCAGGCTTCAATTACCACCCTTCAGTGATACTGGTGCTGCTCATGGATGTCATAATTCTGAGAAACCAAAACGGTTATTTCTCCACTACTGTACTTACTGTAAGCTAGGAGTCAGTGTCAAAGTCCTCTTTGAGCTTCAAACTAAGCAAGCAAAACAGTTATAAATGTGTTGAATTATTACTGTTTAGTAATGTAGACGATTGACTTTGTTCACTGGAGTGATAACGTGTTGCAAAGCACTTTGAAATCTGACAGTACTTTGACATCACATTATCCTAGTAGAAGTTGCATTTCCGTTGCACCACCCATCTGACCCGGCAAACCTTGAAAAACTGCTATACTGTTGAGAAGAACCGCTATAACCCATTTGTTTTTGCTATAGTGAGATGACAAAATGAGTCACTGAACTAACACGTGCAGTACAATGTGTTTTTTGATTGTGAGGTCATCAACGTGATTGAGAAAAGAACATTTCGGTTAAAACAAATTGAGTCAGTAGTCATTCACGAAAAAGATGGTTCATCACACACTCCCAATTTTCTACATAAAAATAATATATGGAACACTGCATGGACGGCCCGGTGGTCCAATGGTTAGCGCGTCGACCTAACAGTGCAGACGTCGTGGGTTCTATCCTGGCTCCAGCCTCCCTGTGTGGAGTTTGCATGTTCTCCCTGGGCCAGTGTGGGTTTTCTCCGGGTACTCCGGTTTCCTCCCACATTCCAAAAACATGCATGGCAGGCTGATTGAACACTCCAAATTGTCCCTAGGTGTGAGTGTGATTGTGATCATGGATGGAACACTGCATTTCAACGATTAATATTCTCAACACAAGCACAGTTGACCTGTGATTGTGTTATATTGAGTGGGGCGAAACACTGGCAGATATTCCAGTCTAAAAATTGTAACTTCTCTTTTGTGTTTTGTGTCCTCAAACATGCACACCAATGAAATGCCATTAAAAAAGAGGGAGTGGTGTTTTTAATGGGTGACCTTTTATTTAAACATTGTGCGGCGGCGACATGTGTAATACTCGTCTCCTTGTCTGCCATGGACTAAGTTAGTTTGAATTAATTAGTATTGTTATCACTGTGATAATTTTCCTTTGACAAACACAGTCTTTGTGCTGTCTGGGCACGTGCACAGTAACACAATGACTTGTGTGTTTTCTCAAAACAGTGGCGTTTCTTTCCGCTTTGTACGCAAGGAATTGCTGTGAGGGGAACAGGGCTGTACCGTTGTTTACTCATGAAACTTGCCTCACAGACATTTAGAACTTTGCCGATAACGAGGCCCCGACCAATATTGATTTTTTATTTATTTATTTATTTTTTTAAGATCCCGAAACTTGGCAGAAAGAAAATCCGATAAACGATTAATGTGCCACTGAAATCAACATGGAGTCGGTTGACAGAACAGACAAGGAGTAGTACCTCAAATGTGTGGGGTTAAAAAAATAGATTGGTATCACAGTCCACTGCAAAATATTCATGGCTGCAGAAATCTTTTTTTTTTTTTTAATCTAAATGGCCTCCGCTACTGTCAGACTTGTGCGGAGGAACTTGGCAGAAAGAAAATCCGATAAACGATTAATGATAATTTAAAGACAAATTATGTAACCTTAACACTTGTCACAATGTAAAATCAAATCACTGGGCTTTGAGCCTCTACTCAGCAAATTTTGCAGTTTGGGATATCAAAAGTTCAATTCTCTAGAAAAAAAAAAAAAACAAAATGCAACAACAAAAACCCTTAATGTGCCAAAAAGTAACTACATAGAAGATGTTCCGAAAGGCTTAAATAATATCAAGTGCAACGGAGCTTCAGATGAAATGTGAAAACAGAGTGAACAGTCAAAATTTACAAAACCATCAAGTGATGTAAGTGAACAGTAGGTGTAAAAAAAAAAAAAAAAAAAAAACACCTCGTCTCAGCGACACGTCAGCGCTATAATTCACAAATGGAAATAAAATGCCATATTGACTGTTGATTCCCCATGATTAACTTGTGTGCCCACTTCACAGGTGGCCATTAAAATCATTGACAAGACCCAGCTGGATGCGGTCAATCTTGAGAAGATCTACAGAGAAGTTCAGATCATGAAGATGCTGGACCATCCGCATATCATCAAGCTCTACCAAGTAAGTTGCTCCACAATAAATAAACTCAACTCTTGGAAACTTTTAAGGGGATATCGCCTTTTCATGAATGCTCTCGATCTTCTTGGAGCAGTGATTTGATCGTTTTTGCCAGGGCTCAGATGTAAGCCATGCTTATTACAGTTGCGCTTTTTTTGATGGTCGTTTCTCAACTGTACATTTTTTGAAATGTTGTTTTGAGATTTCTATTGTGCATATGGACTTGATCTGACCGAAAACTTTAAAGCCATTAATTAAAACAAATCTTTCTAAGTAGTTTGTATACAGTGCTGTAAAATAGTCTTTGCCCCCCTGCTGATTTCTGTGTTCTTCGCATATTTATCACTTACAAGTGTTTCAGTTCATCAAACCAGTTTTAGTATCACACAGAGACTACCCAAGGAAATACAAAATGCAGTTTTTAAATGCCAATTTAATTTATGAAGGTACAAAAAAAAAAAAATCCCAAACTACCTGTGCCTACGTGAAAAAGTAATTGCTCCAACTTGTGAAATCACAAAGTAATTGTGACTAACGACACTTCTGGGAAAGCTGAGTTAAATTTCACAGGCAACACCCTCGCACCACATTTGATGAATCAAGGAATCACATCAATAGAACCTGTCAGACAAAGTGAAGTTGGCTACTAGATCTCAAGACGCAAATGCGTCAGCAGCATGTGTCTGTGCATTCTGCAGCATGTCACATTTCCTTTGCATGAGAACTGACCAATCCTGAACTGTGTCTGGAGGATTTTTGAAAGGAAGTATTGGTTATTTCCTCACAAATGGTAGCCAGAAATAGTCCAATTTCTAATTAGCATTAGATTGCAGTCTTTAACTGCAATTATCGAGTCATGTCAGCGCTTTCAGCTCCTTGCAACATCAGTCTTTATTTTTAATTTGGCTTTGCTAACGGCACCCTTCCCCCAGCGCTGTAATGATCTGCATCGGTTTGGAGAATATTTTTTTGCACATTTTATGTTGTTTATAGTGAGCCAAGCTTCCCAAAGTGCTGCACTGCAAAGCAGATTACAAACGGCACAATGAGAACATTCTGGGACAGTATTTCAGCGAGCAATTGGACTTACGAGGGGCATCAATATGGGAAATACACAACATATTGTCTTTGACATTGTGATGAGATTCCCACTGTGTATTTCCCAAGATGATGGCTCCTGTGCTTGGAATCCACCCAGAAATACTGTACCGGGAAGCTCTCTTTGTGCCGCAAGTACTTTGCTTTAGCAGCACTTTGAGACATTACGTACCCTTAAAAGACATTACAAAATATGCAAACAATGCGTTATTTCTACATGTTGTCCATGTGGTCGTTAATTTTTAATCACACACCAATACAAATAAGGTAAATATAACTTTGTTCTGAGGCCAAAATGCATTAATTACACTTCTGTTCATTTCACTGGGAACATTGTGAGGCCAAAATGGATTAATTACACTTCCGTTCATTTCACTGGGAACATTTGGGTTTGTGAACGGAGTCACTGAAGGGATTCATTTCAAACTGATTAAATTCATCAACCGAGGTTCCGCAGTGTTTGCATTGTACATTTTAGAAATTCTCCAAAGTGCAGTGCTCTCAGGACACCCTTCACCTCTGAAAAGGAAACAAATCTTGCGTTTTGAACTATTGCATTGGACGTGCTTACGTTCAAGTCCCATGACTGTTGCATTTGTTTGGCAAAGTTCCTTGGCGACAATGCACTAAATTTCCCGGTTCAACACAATAACATCAAAATGCTGGCAATATTGATGAAATTACATAAGCCTCAGGGTCCTCCTTTGTTTCAACAAAATAGACAAGTGTTCATTATCCTTACACAACCATATGGCGATGTTCCAGCTTTCTGCCGTGTTATTTTGGTGTGTGTCATTCTTTCCGTAGGCATATCCAACCCATCAGTTCGGGTCAATTAGTGATTTCCTCTCCAGTCTCAAACTATCGATGGCCTTGTGGCCCAGTGGGACGCCCGACACAGTAAAAAGAGGCAAATAGACACCCGCACAAAGCTCCCCACTCTCAATTGTCGCATGTTTCACAAGTGGTAAACTCAATTGTTTTTATATTTGTTATACATGATATGGAAACTAGGTTTGTGACCACTATCCATCAATCAAAAGTGAAACTGGGACTACATATGGACGTGTGTGCTTGTGTTCATGTAACTACATTCAAATGGATAAAATAAAAATAAAATAAATAGTTGCAGTCAGCAGCGTGGGCAATAGATAGTCAAGCGTTTTCACTATGCACCACTTGTCTGGTCTTGTCAAGCCAAATTATGTCCTAGCCATTATCCCGACTCGGCACTGAACAAGAATGATCGCAAATTCTGATCATTTTTATGTTAGCATTCCAGTAATAGGTCTCGGTTCTTAGATCACAATTGGAGGAGGGCCGAGTAACATGCTTGACACAAAGCACCACATCGTTTTGCGGTGTGTGGCATTTTAACTATGAATACTATGAATCATTTGTACTGACTGCATTTTACGGCATGACACATTATGGGCGAAGAGTTATTTCCCTGCATAGCATGTCGTCATAACAAAGGAGTCTGTTTACGGCAGGGACAGCTAATATCCTACAGCTGGCGCTATGTGGTGTTTGGGAGGCTCAGTGTCACCATTTGTACGTTAAAACCAGAAGATTACCGTTAGTCTCTTGCTGTGCAAGACCACTTTTAATGTACTGCAATGGCCGTCTGCAGACTGAAAGGAGAGCCCTCCGTTTCTACAAAAGTAGCACATTTTCCGTTTTTTTCCCCATTTATTATTATTGACATTTATAGGCCTCAGGAGACAATGAATGAATTCTATTTTTCTATTCTAAGAAAAAGTACGGAGAGTGGCATCGCACTGAATAAAGGAGATCACGTTGTTTACTTTGATCAGATATGGCCTTCTTTCAAAAATAACTTTGCAAATTTAACATTTGGAGCCATTTCCTGTTCAAGTAGATGTTGAATGAAAAGAAAAGGCTTTTAGATTTTCCAATTGCCATTATTATAGCACCAAACTGCTCTGAGAGTGTAATCAGTAACGTTGACATGACTCAACTTATACTGTTTAATGTTGTTCTCAAATACGGGACAGACATTTCGTTCCAGAATAATGGCCAAAAAGCTGCCATTAAAGTTGATTGAAATTGATTCTCTGTTCATTTGCTTGATGCATAACCAGCTTCTAAATAGCCAGAGAAGAGCTCAAACTCAAATGAGTTATGAAACAATGCTCCACCTCTTCCAAGAAACATTTCCTCACTCAATGAATTGGTAAGTGTAGCAGATGGAAAATTGATCATCAACAAAAAGAGTGGGATTTCGAGTGTGAACGTCTGGCTCAGTGTGTCTGATTCACCCTCCCCTCTCTACATTTAATTCTGTTTGATCTCCTGAATGTTTCTGCTTCTAAATTGGGTCTCCTCCCACACAGCGCCACATTGAGAGCAAGCACTGTGGTGGTTTTTCGAGTCCCATTCAGATATCTAGCCGTCCACCTCATTTATTGTTTTTCTTCATTCCTCGTGGATACGTTGATTCAGGGGTCATTTCGTTGCGTCAAAAAAACATGTATGTAAAGTCTTTGGTGTGTGTGCGTGTACGTCTCTTTCCATTCAATACTGCCCTCTGCCCCTTTTAGGTGATGGAGACCAAGAACATGCTTTACCTGGTCACGGAATATGCCAAGAATGGGGAAATCTTCGGTGAGTTATCTTTTCAAATGCATTGTCAGCACAACCTTTGTGTCCCTCCCAGCTCAGTTTCACCACATACCTTCCCTGTTGCGTCACTGTTGCGTTTTAAACAAACAAGTACAGTATCAACATTTTGGCCTGGACGCGACTCAGGGCCCTCGCACTCCTCGCACTGTTTCCGGACCTCCATCGCAGTCGTCATATGATGAAATCTGAGAGCGATGTCCTGATCACGTGAATGTCATATGCTGCTCACAGTTGCCTTGTGCAATATGCAAACAGCATTTATTGGTGTTTACTTATTGCTCTATATGGTAGTGTAGAATTGCCTGCTAGCTGCTTAAGTTTCTGCACACTTCTGCATGTCATTCAGTTCATTTAAATGAAACATTTCACACCTGGAGATTACATGACGAGTGCTAAAGATGTTCTTTTGCACCTGCAGAGCGTAACAGCGTAAACGCTTGGACACTAACCATTTCCTTACTGAGCCATTGTTTATACAGTAGTTGCACTAAAGCAACATTAAAGGAAAAGACAGGACAGGTAAACGTAGATGAAGCAGTAAACTTAGCAGAGAGTTGTACACGTGCGCATCATTGTTGTAACCCCTCTATTAATTAAAGAAAATCTCACAATAATGGCGAGTGATATTTGGAATCATTTGTTTCTTTTGTATTTCTTTCTATGCCAGTCCTTCAAAATATGTTGTCACATGAAAACAGTCAATGGCACTTTTGGGGGCCCGCTGCCTTTTATTTAAAAAAAAAAAAAAAGTACAGTTATGTAGCCCATTGTTGGAATGTCAGTGCTAAGTAAAGATTTGAATAATTGTAAATTTGGTTTATTCTTTGAAGCATTATTAGTACTTTTTAAATGAATGTTGAATGCAACCGAAACTTGTTCACTACTGTCAATATGGGTTGCTTTCGGAAATTAACTCAGACCACACCCCCTTCCATTAATTTTCAAACTCAGCCTATGTTGTAAAGCAATCAGCAGCTCCAGCTTGAACCTGTTAACTTACCTTGTACTGCCTGACGCACAGGGCTCTGGCACTCCTTTTTTGAAGCACTCTGAATAACCAAACAGCACATTTGAGCAGCACTTTGAGTTTCTAAACAGCCAGAGTGAAGCAGTGCGTGCCGGGAGGTTTTCCGAATAGGAACATGAATGTTGGTGCCGGTCCGAGCTCTACTCTTCTTGGTCTCAGTTTTTGCAAAATAAATTTCCCCCAAAAATTTAACATCTACTCTGGAGCAACTTTTTTTTTCTTCCTCATGATGCAATTTTTTTGACTGGTCCGACTTCGGAGCTACATATGGTCAGAAAACTATGATCGTTTGTGCCATTGCAATGCAATTTTACTGAGGTTAAAACTGAGTTATTGCCATGAATGCAAGTATACAGTATAAATAGGCAATAAATATGAAGCAATCACTAAAACTTTGCATATTATTTCATGAATATACGGGGCCAGGACTGCTTCTCACTGGTACACCACAACATGGCTCATGGCGGCCGGACAAGGCCACCACCCATAAAGCCCTAATGTCAGAACCTGTCCATAGGTGTTGAATAAAAATTGGTCAAATGCCCATTTCTGTTGCCAGCTGTCAACAAAATCTCTAAATCACAACTGGAAAACAACCCATCAACAATAACCACATGATTGTAATTGAGCATGTGGAAAATCATCAATCACCAAATGGGACCCTAAAGGTCTTTGCGATTAGCCACCAACAGTGGCAATTTCACATGCACATAGATGATGTGGCCTACAAGGTACCAGGAATGAAAATAACTTCCACCTCCTTCATCCTAACCCCGCAAAAAACCCAACACCCGTTCAAACTCGACACTGCATACCCATGGACAACAAGACAACCGACAAAGTGTGAAGTTGAGGACATGCGAGATTGGTGGGTCGAGACAAGTGAACAAAGGACACCCAAACATTTTCTACAATCATTGTTGGATTTTCTGAACCAGTAGGAATGTTTAGATTGTGTTATTAATAGCCTTTTGCAACATGGTAACAGGACATCATAGTGAAGGCATAGCATGTTTATGATCAAAATATTACTTTTTCCTTTCAGTACAGTCACATGCAGCTGAAGAGCGTGCATATATATATTTCGCAAATGAAGCCACTCATGTGGAAAGAGGGAACAGAAGATCTTAGTCTTTGTCTGTTGAAACCAGACAAGTGTGTGCAGTGTAATATCTCCAACCCAGCAAACGGATCATCCTTTGGGGACTAAAAAACAGAGTACATTATTATTTATTTATTTTTTTAAGTGGTTGCATCAATTGCAGGACTGTGTTCTTTAAACACACACATATTTCTGCAACCGTTATGATTGGCTGATGACGCTTCAGGCTACTCAGACAGTCAAATATTTGAAGGGCTGTTTTCCAAATGTTTTAAATCCATTTAGATTCCAAAAACTAGTGAAAGACATATTTACCCAGACTTGTAAATTTGCAACTATTCATTTGTCATGTTGTAATTGATCGGCTCAGACGAAACATGAACAAAAGTACCACAATCATATGTTGTTGATTATATGAAATGTTTGTATGATATTTTTGTTCAAAACATCCTAGTCAGGAATTCATTTTGTCGTTGTTTTAAACAGAAGAACATGTTGTGAACTGCCTGCAACATTCTCGAGTCATTGAGGTCGCCACATCACGTGATCAAAATGCAATAGGTTCTAATATCTGAAGGCACTTTACACGGGAGGATGTCAACAAGCACTGCGTCCTAGCACAAGAAAACCAACAGAAAACAGAGTGGTTAGCGTTGAGTAGACACTATTGCTGCTTCTGCAAACATATCAACATATATGTTCAGAATTGCTACAAAAATATTGTTGCTGTCAGCCGGAACCCTCAAATGTCCAAACGTGGTCAATTTCATATTTTATTCCACAAATTGATACCAATGGTTGGTCCCCATGTGGTCTGTAAATTATTATATTATAACAATTTATGAACCAATCTGAGGTGCTGAAAATAGCTTGAGAGCAAATCTATTTACCGGTATTACATTGACACTTGAACTGTGCGAGAAGTGTCTTATAACTCCACCACTTCTTGACTCCGCAGAAGTCTCACACCAACATGATTCCGCACAAGTCTCACAGTATTATTTCACCAAGATTTGATAGTTTTCTTAACAACAAAAGTCTGAAAATACTATAGTTTGATTTTATCAAATTAAATAGACCTTTTTTTGGGCTAAATATTGATTGCTATCATGCTTGGTTGCAGAAGGAAGCCCATCAATCAGCCACAAAGGCAAGTTTACGTGCAGGTTCATTTTTGCTTTATGCTGTTTAGTCACCCCCCACCCCATGCTCCACTCTTAGAACTTTGAAGCGAAGTTTTGGAAAATGATGTAACCAGAGTCATTATCTTTGCATTACAACGTTTTCTCTTGTCAAGGCTTAAATCTTTTTCTCATCTGTGCGGCCCACTCTGATCTGGAGAAAAAAAAAAGCATGCCTGACACTATTGCACAAGAGAATGGCAAGGAAAGATCGATCAGATATGAACTACTTGTGAGAAGATCATGATCCACATAACTAATTAACTTTACCTATTAGACTGTCTGAGAATGTATCAAACCTAATTCCAGACACAGTTGGCTTGAGAGGATTACTCAACAGTCAACGTAATGGTCGTGTATGTGTGTATTTGAGGCCAGTGTTCCACTTGTGATGTTGACTCAGCAGCTGCCATTCCTGTTCATGTGACCCATAGAGAGCGAGGAAGCAGACAGCAAGAAAAGAGAACACACAAAAAAAAAGAAAAATGGAATGCTACAATGATGCCCAAAGAGAAAGATCCATATAGGCTTGTTTGTCGAGCTGCCACTGCATCTCATTCTCACCTCGTCTCTCTTAAATAACCAATGACGGATGTTTATTTCACATTGCACAGTCTGAATATTTCCTCTTGGATCTTTGGCGGGATTTATAAAACCATTGTGTCCTGATTCCTCTGACCCCCTTGCCCTGATTGCACAATGGAATATTGTTATGCAAGAGCAAGTGTATATGTCATCATCAGTTGCAGCCGTCGCTGCTTTGACTCAGACAGGCAGATATAGACTGCATTGAAAGTGTTTTGACATTGGATTGTACAGTCATGCACAGTGAAACCTGAAAGGTCACGCCAGTTTATTCGAATCTCAAGAGAAATTTTCCCATTAGAAAGAATACCATTTGAATTGAGTCTCTCTCCAGTCAGCCATCATTACCGGTAATATTTTATTAACTGTACAGGTAATGTTTGAAGTAACATTCCTGTCATACAAAGTGAGTGTATATAAAGACAAAAAAAAAGTAACCGCTGTTAATATTTAAAACAATAAAACACTCTTTGCACCCGCTAAATTTGAATGAGTGAGGGCATAATCAAAGTCACACATCTATTTTCATAACAGTCTTCAGTGTAAAAGGAGTTTCATCACTATAAATGGGCCATTTACCTTTTTATAATTGACAAAGCCAGCATTAGCATTTAGTGTTAGCAAATAAGCCTCAAAGAAGAAACCAAACTCATGCCCACAGTCTTGATGCTGACTGAACTGAGTGCATATACAGTATATCTTGAATATGATATTGTGCGATTTGCTCAAGTCACATGTGAGACACAGACAGACATTGAGGCGGTTCAACCCCCAATCAATTGTGATATTGGACGACATGCATGTCTATCAGTGCACTGTCACAATGGGCCAACGAGGTTGTATATGAGCAGCATAATTGCATGCATGCATATACAAGGCTTGTCAAAAAAGTCCAGGACTGGTGTCACAAAAGATATTTCAAATACAAACTATTAGTTTTCCCCTTCAAAGTAATCCTCCGTCAGTCACTGATTTGAAACGGAGTGCCTTGGTGACCCCCCTGATCTTGGAAAAGATCACATGCTCGTAGTGTGGGTGTAGAAATGTATCTTTCGTGACACCAGTCGTGGAACAATTTTGACATACCCCATATGTGAAAGCCAAGCGGAATATATGGCACAGGCAGTTGGAGATGGCTGTGTTTATGCTTTCCCAAGGGGTATGTGGACACCCTCTGTTTACTGATGTGCCTTGGTGTATGCTGCGCCTCAAGATATGTGAAAACTACTGGACAGATCAAACCTGGAAATTGGGTCAAATGCAAATATAGCAGCAGTCCAGTGAGTGGATGCTTGATGAAAAAGGAAGCAGAATAGAATAGAGATGCGTGTTGGGGACGTCCGTTTAAATTTGTAAGGTGGTGGGGAAATGTAGGGCATGCATATTTAAGAAAGCACTACTGGCGTGATGAGGAGAGCGTTGAAGCTGACAGAGAGCTCGCTCACTCACACAGATCTCAGTTTGCCTGATAGGAAAGGAAGGAGACGTTGTTGCCTTCAAAGAAATCCTATTTTTGATCCACCGCCCTATTTCCGTAAGGCAGCTTGTTTGCTCTTGAACCCTCTCAGTCATAGCATAGGGTCACTGGGACTATTTGGACACCAGTGTGTCTTTGATGTTGACATGATTAAAGAATGATGAGATTGACTGCACAAAATGTTTTTCTGTTATCTTGAAAGGATTAATCTGCATCTCATTCCATATTTCTGCAAAGGAGTAAACCTGTTTTTCGTGCTTATATCTCTCTTATGTCTCTGTACACAAGCAAATGTAGAAGACCATGTTGCATAACCACATTGCAGTGTAGTGACAAATGTCAATTTGTTGAATTAACTTGAATGCCTTTTTTACATTGCATGTTCTACCTGAAATGTATATTTTATTTTTTTTTTCATTTCAAAATGACAGCTGATAACAGAGGCTATGTTTGACCAATCACAAAGGACATGAGTCATTGTTACATGATCAGTGAAACTCACATTTACACACTTTACAAATTAGATTTCAAGGACAAAAGCTTATCTACATACTGAACAAAACTGATGCATCATGGTTGGAACCGTGGAATGTCAGGACATTCCACATTGTTGCAAAAGCAAACTGTGTACATCCATATCTCATTGATTTGAATTGGAGACCAGATAGGTCATAGCCAATACATGAATAATCCTCATGTACTTAATGTACTGGAAAAACAATTTTTAAAGACATTGATTGCATGGAAACGATCTAGAAAATTGTCTGTCAGCAGCCGGCAGTTCGTGTCAAGTGATCACACATTAGCTTTCAGACCAGTGAAAAGTTGAAAAATAAACAACAGTCTGATGTTTGACCTCAGCTACCTCAAGCAACTTGTATCACTGTCGTCAGAGGGGATCTTGCTCGGAGGAAAAAAATAGTTTGATGAGGATTGTTTGAAAATTGCACCCAGCAGAGCACTGAGTGGCAAGGGTACTGGCCTTTTGCTAGCAACTGACCTTTTACTCCCTGACGTACCCTCTAAAATCAAAAGTAGTGTTGCTCAGACATAAAATAATATCTGAAGGTTTGGAGAAGTTTTCAAAGTCTGGGTGGGTGTGCACCTCTCTTGGTGTTGGCTTGACGTGATAAAGTAAAAGAAGCATTTTGCCAAGGTTGCAGGTGTGATTCCCCTTTCCACCAATTTAAGTCATTTATTTCAATGATTCTAAGCACGTTGCACCACACTGAGAGAGTGCAAGCTGGATCAAACATTCAAGTTTCAAGCTTTTATTGAGTTAGCCTTATAAAGGTCAGTTGTAATATAAAACTAACAGTACGTGGAATAACGTCAAGGTTTAATCCCCCAAGATTATGCCCATGAACCTGGGATTATAGACTAATAGAGCTCTAATTTTATAGCAATGAACTATTGTCACCAGGCTGGAATAGGATTTAGATACTAGAACATATCTCGGGACAACTCATTTATGAGAGTTTTTTGGACAATGATTTTAACTTGGTGTTTGAGAGGATAGCCTCAGTATCCAACTGACTGGAAGTGATATCGATGCAAGTTTCAAAGGGTTGAATAATATTTTTGATCAGATGTCATCTCAAGCTATCATCAAAATAAGCATTTAATTTAAAACCTTTTTAAATGTCCGGGTCCCAACCAAACATAGAAAAAATTGTAGGAGTTGTAGTTAAAAACCGAGTTGAGCTCTAGCTGGCTCTGAGCCATTTTTAAGCGCTTCGTGCTCCAAAATGAAATAATCACCAGCGTCTCTCTGCGTACACATAGATGTGACTTCAATGTTGTTGTTGCATTTCAATGGCTTGGCTATCGGTTAGTGATGTGGAAAGAGACTGCGTGTTTTTGCCCCCTGTCCTCCACACCCACAGACTCTCTACTCCTCTTTCCACTGCGGTGCGATCTGAAGTTAGGCCAAAGATCAATCCAGCAGTCTTCCCCGTAGACATACTGTTTGTCCCATCTAAACCTGAGCAGCTGTTAAGAGACTCAATTCTTCAGCCAGCTCTTTGGCACAGCAGAGCGACTGTTGATCTGTTCCCTAAGACACCCATGATTCATGCTTGTTCTGTTGAGTTCTTTGCCTTGGCCAACATTTTCTTTGGGGATTACTCATCCTATTCGATTTTGACTTGGCTTGGGTACTCATTGTGGACCAGTAATTAGGGATGACTTATTCAACTGGAGTTCACAATGCGTGTTGCTCAATTGGAAAGAAAAGCTTTTGACAGTCAGTGGCAAAATCTCAGGTTGGACATGTAGTAGGTTGTTGGAAATATCCTGGGACAATGTAAGATCCCCAATGTCATGTGTCTCTCTATTTAGGTCATCTACCAATGAGTTTGGATTGAAGATAAGGAACAGAAAACACTGATTGATATTTCCCACTCAAGAGAATTAGCTGAGAACACTTTGCTTACACTTATTTTAAAAGCCAATATAATGAGATCTAAGCTTATCGCTTACTTCTTTGTCTATTAGAATCACATCCATCAACATTGTCTCGGTGCTATGATCAATATTACCGTATCTATGTTTCCCTACCGTGAGAAGTGCTTAAACTATCCAATTGAGTGACACCCAAATAGTCAAAAGCTACGTTCATTTAAGACTATCGTGTTGATGGGAGACAAAACGCATGTCAGTAAAATGCAGCTGCCAAAAGTGATGAAATGAAGAGTGAGCGTTTACCGAGTTGAACTTCATATTTCAGTGAATCACAGTGCTACCATACGTCCATCCGAGCGCTACCTTGATAACCAGAGATGGAATGAACACGCCGACTGCTGAAGAGCGAACTACTTTGCTTTGATCGTAGCCTCAAAACAGGAATGATGTTACTTCAGCGACCTGTTCTCTTGGACCTCTTCGGCACATTCCTCTCTGTGGTGTTTCTTTTGATTAGCAGCTTTGTATGAAAAAATAAGCGCTGCCTTGGTCACTGAATGGCATCTTCTTTGGAATGTACCAGCTACCATCTAATCAATAGCCTTTTTTTCTGATGTCAGGAATTCCTTGACCATCCTGTGGATGACTTAACATTCCCTTGGAGCAATGGAGAATGAGTGTTATGTCCTAAGCATTTTTTCTTCTACGAGACTTTTGAGTCTTGGATTATTTTGCCATTTGATGTGTATGACTGGCCCATAGGAAATATATTGTCCTAGGTAACATATCTGATGTGTACAGTGGTACCTCTACTGACAAATGTCTCTTCATATGAAATTTTCAAGGTACGAAACGCCTCACCATGAAAATATTGCCTCATTTTATGAAAGAAATTTCAATACACGAAATGTAAAAATACTGTATGGCCTGCTACTCGCAGCTTCGAATTTCCTGAACGCAACATACTTATAGCTGCTCTGCCATTGGCTATGACCGAGCATCATCCTGGCATCCTATTGGCTCAGAGGTACTTCTACTGAATGTGTTTATGCGTGTTGATAGATAGATATGTGTCGATGCCGCGTCCTCGTCATTTGCCCCTCGGGCCTTCCGATAGTTTTACGTAAATGTGAGTCACCCAGAAAAAGAGTTCACCAGTTGGGCGATTGCTAACTATGTTGATGTTTGCCAATTCTAAAATCGCTAAATTCTAAACTATGAGCAATCTCGCTCTTCAACACTCCACAAGATTTTATTGGCACGCTGCATTAAACTACGACCACTGCTATCTGCTCATGCCAATAGATAAACAGGAATCAAACGCTTAAAGTTCCCATATTTCCGCTATACCTATCCACAATAAAAACCCTCTGCAGACCCCCCCTCCCCCCTCTGTCTGTCTCTTTCTTTCTCTCTCTGCTTCTGCTGCAGTGAAGCAATGTTTCTACACATTCTTTGCCTTCCTCCTAAAGCTGTAATAGTACAGTACATTCATGCTGTCCGACATGAAGTGGTACTGGATAAAAGAAAATGACAGTATCCTGCTCCGTCTGGACAAAGTATGCTGTGATGTAACACATCCATAAATGGTAGTTGGCAGCTTGCCTGCGCTTCATAAAAAAACAAAACAATAAATTACTCGGAGAACAGATCCAGCAACATAGAGTGAATTGATTGGTCAAATACTTTGGTTTGTGTTTGTAAAGCCTGCGCAGTCATTGCTTATTACGATTCTAACAATTTATCTCTTTATTTGGCTGCAGACTACCTGGCTAAGCACGGCCGACTGAGTGAGATGGAGGCCAGGAGGAAGTTCTGGCAGATCTTGTCAGCGGTGGAATATTGTCACAACCGCAAAATCGTCCACCGGGATTTGAAGGCAGAGAATCTGCTGCTGGATGGCCACATGAACATTAAAATTGCAGGTATGAGAGCACAAGTGACCAGTATACATGTACACAATTTTTAATTTAAAAAGGTTTTGATCCATAGCTACGCTGTGATTTCCACACTGACATAATTTAGAAATGTCTTAACTATCTGCTCTGCCGACTCGCACTGTTGTGTTGGGAAGTGGTTGGGGGTTACGTGTGAAAAGACTGTTGGAGGAAATTCTCGAGAAGGCTGTTTTTTCAAAACTGAAGTGTTAAGAAGTGCAAAATGCCTCCTCTGGGGCACTGCAGCTTTATGTTTGAAGGGGCAAACCATGAAGGATGAAGGGCAAAAAGTGAAACAATACCAGATGTTGGCATGTAAAACCAATGTGGTTATTTGTCGTAGTATGAGGGATGGAGGGAGGGGATCTAGGGAGGTAGGGAGGGAAAATGAGTTCTTGCCATTGTTTCTTGTTCAATTTTATGCCATCTTTGAATGGTAGTTTTTATGCAAAAGAGCCCTTGGTATTGAAAAAAAACGTGAGTTGATGGTTATTTTGTTGTTTGCTTCAAACCCTTTGTTGTGTGGTTAGGATGTTGTCATTTATACATGCATTAAGAAATGTATTATCAAGAAAGATAATCCATAACATTACCTATTTTGCCCGTATGCGCATATTTTCGTCGATATTCAAAATAACATTTTTCTTTCCATACGGTGGTTAGGAAGTACATTGTCTTATGTGAGCCCCATAGTTGCTCCGATGAAAAATTGTGTCCCCCTCCAGCATTGACTGAACACTGGCCGTCCCTGGGGGTGAGTTAGTTATGATTTGGAGGCCGTAATTAGTTGTGCGATTGAACTGTGCAGGGTTTTACTATTGTTTCAACAATACTTAAGGAATAAAACCGTTCAAGAACATAAAATTATAGCTGCTGTTTGTTTCTACCCAATGTTCCAAGCAGAAAAGGTCAATTTTGACTGAAGCACATTACTGTTATTTTGCTGGCACATTTACAGGTTTCTCGGATGGGTCCCAAGATTACAACCTAGAGATGTTATTACCCCAATTTAAAGAGACACTTTTGACTCACCGCCAATTGTCCACAGCGCAGATTATCTTTGAAAAATGAGGAACAGAACATTACTGGGCTAGTGATTAGGCAGAAGGGAAAAAAAAACTCTCTAGGGCAGGGGTGTCAAACTCATTTCACATGGTGGGCTACATACGGCCTCGGTAGATGTCAAGTGGGCCGGACCATTAAAATGATACAATGCTTTGCTATAAATAACCAAAACAATGTCTTTCCTTTGTTTTGGTATAAAGAAGCACAAGAACATTAGGAAAATGTTGAAATTTAATGAACATATCTTTTACAAAAAATTTCATGAAGCACCTTACATTTCCTTCGACAAATGTGCAATTTACTTTTATCATTCACATATATGCATTGCAACTGATCCCACTGATTGTACAAACTTTAACAAGTAATTGCTCTTGAAAAATATAGTAATGCACTTTTAAGATTAAACAAGATTCATAAAGAAAGCACGTTTTAAAGCATTTACACGTGCATATAAAATCTAAATGTAATCCCTGCCTACACCTTACAAACTAAGGAGAGTGCTATTAAATGTGTAAATGTGAGAGTGCTATTGATAGCGTCTGCTGTCATGGGTCTGTCTCAGTGACAGACTGAGGCTGCTGTTGTCTTCTTCACTGATCAAAACAGTGTCCCCTTGCGGATACTCAATGAATTGCACCTGATTAAAAATATTAATTCTGTGTCTTTAATGCATTTTTTTCACTTTTACATTATCCTGCGGGCCTGATTGAACCTACTTGCGGGCCGGTTCCGGCCCGCGGGCCGTATGTTTGACACCAATGCTTTACATAATCATCTCGCGGGCCGGATTAAACTCCTTTGCGGGCCGGATCCGGCCCGCGGGCCGTATGTTTGACACCCCTGCTCTAGGGAGATGAGCAGCATTATTTGCTGTGTGATTTGAATGCATTCTAACAAATGGAAGGACATGAACGAGGACATTTTTGTTTTATTGACATGAATGCAAAAAAATGGCAACGCCACGACAACAAAAAATGATTCATTAAAATTGCTAGCAAATTATGAATTACTTATCGCTATTAGTAGTCAATATTGGGTGTGTGAGAATCTTGTCAATCTAACGAATGAATCAACGCTGCCTCTGCTAGTTAGACCAGTAGGAGAATCGCTATTGTCATGACATACATGCATATTCATAAAATGGTACCTCTAATTTTAATTTATTACAGTAGTGGACACTGGAAACACACACATACTTGGTTACACACTGGAAACACACACATACTTGGTTACTGTGTTCTTTGTTTCACCTACGGTCACGAGCTATGGGTTGTGACCCGAAAGAACGAAATCAAAGATACATGCAGCGGAAATGAGTTTCCGCTGCAGGGTGTCCGGACTCTCCCTTAAGACTGTATCTCACTAAGTGGCGAATGCTTTGCAACTTTTAGGTTTCGTCAGGGTTCATAAAAGGTTCGCAAACAGTTTTAATTGTCACCGTTTTTCTTGATTTTGAACTTGTTCAAAATTTCCTTGCAAATTTATTGTTTCGCTCACAATGGCAAGTGGATTGTCGAGTAGAGGGGGCGTCAGAGGCAGCAGGGGGGTGCCTTTCATGTTTTCACCTCAAAAAGCCTTTCTGAATGCAAGGTGGACCGTTTGAAGCTGGTTAGAGAGAGGGGGCCGGGGGTGAATATCATTTCCAGAACTGAAATCAGACCTCCACCATTACAGAACATTCCTTATTTGGACCAACACCAGATTGTAAATCTCTTAAGGTACCTACCTTCTCTATTTCTGGATGCTTGACATATGAAACAAATGCAACATTTAATCAGATGTTCAACATCTTGAATTCTTGACAAGACATAGCACACAGAGTCTGTTGTTGTTTAATCTCAAGGATAACACAATCACGGTGCATCATGTGTCATGTTTGTGCAACAGAAGCTCGAATTGAGTCATGGGGGCAAATAAATGACTCAACCATCCTTGTTTAGCATATCTTAACATCTGCAGGCACTCGGTAGCCTTAGCCAGCAACAGCTATAGCTATTAATGGAGTTGTTTTTTTAAAGACTTTTTTCGCTAAAGTAGTACAGTTGGGTTCATTTTGCCACAGTATGATTTGGCTCCAATAAACAGTCATGATATTTCTTGAGCTCAGATGTCTTTTTAGCATAGCATGATAAAGTGATGCGCTTGCCTACCAAAGTTTCATGAGCCTTTAGCTGTAGTCATTTCGAGTGTGCCATTGTTGAGGCTAAAATTACGCTCATGCGATTGTGTGTGTCACATACACTGTGCAGCTCGCCTGCAGTGTGCAGCAGCTTTTTGACGTCAAACAGGCTGCTTAGTATTCTGCTCCACGATGTGGGTCACAGCTTGTGAAGATACATTTGCACTGGCAATAAAAAAAATAAAAATAAAAAAATTCTTACCTGTGTCATATTTGCCTTCACAGCAATAGCACACAGTAAGCACAATTGCTCTTAGCCCTGTGTCCTGCACACCGCTTTGACTTATTTGCTTTAATCCGTCTGCTTCTGTACCTGCATGGAAGTATACTGAAAGATGCTCAGGCAAATTATTTCATCCAAACGACTTAAAGTTTGCAACTCATTTCTGCTGTGTTGTAATTGTATGGTCTTTACGATTCATTAGTCATCCTTGACATCTTTTGACTTTTTTTTTTTTTAATCCACTGATTGACAGAAAGCACATAACTGATGCAATTTGTGTGCACATTGGAAGTATTGTTCAATAGATTGCTGGGGGTGCATTGGATTTTAACATCTGCCATTCATAGTATTCAATGGTCGTGATTAGTATGGGCGATGAGGGAATCTATTATTCAAGTATAAGCCCCTACAAGATCTGCTCACATGTTTGTGACGACATTGTTACCCCATTAATTGTAAATGGGGGTGGTACCGGACAGAATTGTGGCACTCATCCTGTCTCTTGCCCTCACACTGCACAGGGTGTGACCGTGTGTGTCGGCGCTCATGTGCTGACATCACCTCCAGCCCCATTATGTAAGCCTGACTTTTTTAATCATCGTTATTTATTCTTTTAGCCCCCCCCCCTTTTTACATAACTGTGTCCAATGATGGAAAAAAGCATGAGGGCAGAGGGTAAAGTGAGCGCCATTGTCTGCGCCTGCTAACTGTGGGTGGCATTGTAATCACAGGGGTTCCATTCGTAAAACGCGAACAGTACTTACTAGGTTTTTTTTTCTGACCTGTGACTATCGCCATTTTTTTTTTTTTACACTCCCTTTTCATTTGAAATCTAAAACGATGCTTAGGTTGAAAATGTCCACTGTAACAAGGCGGGGAGGCTGTTTGGAAGCTATATTCTGTCTTGATGAATGAGGTAGTTTTAATTCATTACTCACTTAAGTCATATGCCTCTGTGTGTGTGTGTGTGTGTGTGCGTGTGCGTGTGTGTGTGTGTGTGTGCGCGCGCGTGCGCGTGTGTGTGTGTGTGTGTGTGTGTGTGTGTGTTACTGCAGCTTGAACTCAGATTTTAAAAAGTAGCCTGCAATCTCCATATTTAGTGTATGTGTGAACGAACCCCTCCTGTGTCATGCTTTTCCCAAGATAAAATCTAACTTGTTTGCTCTGCAGACAACCAGTCGGAGCAAAGCCTTTGATGAGCTCATGTGATTCTAGCGCCACAGGTGACCATTCAGGGGGCCCGTTTGCTCATCATAAAAGTATGCGGCTTATATAGCACATTATGCAAAGCCCACTGACACCAGTGGCACCCGGATGCAAAGAGGAAGACCAGCATTTTTGTTTCTTCAAGGGAAATTTGGTGTTAACATGAAAATATGGTTTCACAATATATCAGGATTAACAAAGTACCGCAATAGCTTGGTATAAAAAAAAAAATGAATCAACACGATATGTTTTCAGCACTGGTGCTTGAGCACATTTCAGCAGATAGCAAAGAGTTCTCCAAAAAGAGGTGATGTGTGTTTGCCTGAAGCTGTTTATTAGTCACCCCTGTAAAACATGTATAAAATACATATTTGTACATGGAATGGAAAAAAAAATGGATTAGTGCTCTGTGCTAGACCGGTGCATACTTTATTCAGCCGCCGGCCCCACACAACAGTGATATGGCAACACAGAGATAAAACATCTGAACCAAAACAAAGAAGATATGTAGTATATTGAAATACCAAAATGGTTTACAATCACCTCTTCTAAATTAAATTCCCATGTTAAACATGATTTGGGGTTTTATGTAACATTCAAATTTGTTGAGACCCTGAATATGGTGTCTTCATTATCGCTACGCTGCATCATCAACATTTTGGGCATCACATCATGAACTTTTTAATGCTTTGGTTGTGAATATTTAACAGTAAGTTTCCCTTTTTTAAATCAACCCAAACTATATTACATGATTATCCAATTTATTGAGATGCAAATGTCTGTAATGTGAGAAAAACTCCAGAATGTGAGGATTATAGCTGAAAATGCTTGTTCAAGTCAACTCCAGTAGTAAGTTTTATTTGACATTTCAACTATTGACAGGAGTTTTTGGTTAGGTTGATCACCTCCAAAGACAGAAGATATAAATGTTATATGAAATTACTAGTTCGACCAAATATTGTCATATGCAGAGCATACAAGAATTAGTATTTCCATCCAGCAGCACAGTGTAAGTCCACACAACAAAGATAGAATAAATAGTCTTTACATACCAGTGGCGTCTCTGAGCTTCTTCTTCTCTTATAATTTCATTAGTCATTTGTTTTTTCCCGACAGATTACTGGGATACTTACTCTCTTATCTTCCACTCGATTGATGTATAACAGCGAACAAACCCTTGTGGCATCGGGTCAATTTGTCATTTTTGACATAACCATGTAACAGAGATTGATTTAAAAATTTAATTGTCAAATGACTGTGTCTTTGGCAGACTTTGGATTTGGGAACTTCTTTCAGCCTGGCACACCTCTGGCCACGTGGTGTGGCAGCCCCCCTTACGCGGCCCCTGAGATCTTCGAGGGCCTACAGTACGAGGGTCCGCAACTGGACATCTGGGTACGTTGCGTGCATGAGCTGTGTCACGGTCCAGCAACAAATGCCACTTTTCCACTGCAAGTCTCCTCTGGCACTGTTCGAAGCAAATCACCGACTGCGACAGCTACATCTCATTTAGCTGCTTTTTGCAACGTCTTGTTTATCTTTGGACTTGAGTAGTAACAACCACTTTTAATTGTGCCATCTCTCTTTTGGATTGTTCCAGAGTATGGGTGTGGTGCTATATGTGTTGGTCTGTGGTGCCTTGCCCTTTGACGGACCCACTTTGCCAGTACTCCGACAGCGAGTCTTGGAAGGAAGATTCCGCATCCCCTACTTCATGACTGAAGGTAGGAAGCCTATTTTAGCCAAAGTTTGCATGAGATGTATTCGTGCTTATCAGAGATGGGCATTCCCAGGGACGGAACGGTCCGTCCGCCCGTCTCAGACAGACGTCCATATTGGGGAAAAGGATGGACTAAGCAGGGATGGAATTGGGTTTTTGTCCTGCCTTTAATCGTCCCTACCTGGGTCAAGTACCTACAGACCCCCATTTCACTAACGACTGACAGAAACACATCGAGCCAGTCTCATGTGTGTAATACTTCTGACCGAATGTGAAGCGCCGCTTGTCTCGTGTGTGTTCACAGTGTTTGTATTATTATTATTATTATTTTATTTTATTTTATCGCAGTAGCTATTTTTCTGTTGTGAAATACCAATGTTGAGCTGCTTATCACTAAGACATTAAAAATATTAATTAATTAATTATTTGTTTGATTAGTGGCCTGTCTTATCTATAATAGCCAATCACGCCGTTACTGAAAATAAGGTTCGGCACACAGGCGCATGCACAATGAATACGTCAATGTTTGCATGCGAGAGTCTTGCACATTTTTCAAAGTGTGGTGTAGTGTAATGTGGCAAGACATGGCATGTGTTTTGAATTTTATGGACAGTTTCTCTCGTGAAGTGACAAAAGTTTTGTCGAGAGCGCCTCTATGGAGAGAACAACACCCTAAAATCCCTAATACTTGGGCGATCTAATATTTTCAGAAGTTGATGTGAGTATAAGATGTCAACATAAATTTAGGATCATTATTATATGAATAAAGATGAAGGGAGGATGACTGAATGGTACCCAGGCTGCGGACGGAGGACATACCGGCAAAATAGGGTAAAGTGCCCATCTCTGATTCTTGTATCATCTGAACAAAAACATCTGTTTTCCGTGTGACACCATCACACCTTCTGCTTGTATCAACAGACTCTTAGTATGGCTGCACTCATTTAAGGGGTCATTGTGTGAATGAGGTGGATCCTTTAGGGCAAGGGCACACAGTAATAGAAAGCATTTCCACTGTGCTGTGCACACTGTGTCAAAGCAGCCAAGTTGTGAGGAGTCGTGCTAGCTTGTTGGCAAGAGATGAAGTCCAGAACCCGAGCTGTTTATGTAACCTGACGACCAGCCAGCAAACCCCTCTCGATCTGTGCCTGTCTCTGTCTCTGCCATGTAATAAGTTCCAGGACTGACCAAATTGATTAATTTCATCAATGTAACTTTTTGGTTATCATCCAGCAACCAGGGGTTGATCCAAATGGGCATTGTTGGGCCTTTGTGCCATTCTTTGTATGTTTGTGAGAGGACCTTGAAACAATCAACATGCACAGGCATGGTGACGAAGGAGAGTAGCAGAGAGACAGTCTGTTCCTGGGAAGTAAGAACAGGATGTGCTGTGCTCCTGCCTGCTCTCCTGTTGCTCATCTCACCACGCAGTAAGTACAGTGGTGTGAAAAACTATTTGCCCCCTTCCTGATTTCTTTGGGTTTTTTTTTTTTTTTTGTCACCACCCCCTCGCCCCGCCTCCAATCATCAAACACATTTCAGTATTAGTTCAAGACAATACAAATTAAACTAAAATGCAATTTATAAATGAATGTTTTTCTGGGGGAAAAAATCCAAACCTTCATCTAAAGCAGTGGTTCTTAACCTTGTTGGAGCTTCCGAACCCAACCAGTTCAAATGCACATTTCATGGCACTGGAGTCTAGCACAGCCCAGTTCACCCTCACTTGAACATCTCACCACTGCGAACATGGTCTGCCACCATTCTCTCTATTCCACAGCTGGACGTTGGCACACCGCAGAGGACGCATGAGTCATGTTATCCAGGGAAACCGTCAACTCAACACCGGGTTTCTATTTGTGCATGTCTGACTCCTATTGCAGACATTCGTAGCTGAAATGCAGGAGAAACTGCAAACCAGAGTATCATTCAAACTTAAGAAGTCATTGGCTGCAAAAATGCAAATAATTCGGAAAGATTTCGTTGCATGACTAGAGTTATAAAAAGCTGTATATTTCTGACTTCTAAAATTTTCTTTTCACATTTCCTGTCATTATCACAAACATAGTTGCATGCATTGCACCGGATGTTATGTCTTTATTTGAAGCAATTACAGTACAGAAGAGTCCTAGCATTTTTCCTTCGGGAATAGATTTTAAAAGCCACAATTGATTTGTTCAGAAGTAATCTGGTCATTTTTTTTTTTTTTTTTGTGATGTATAACCGCTGGGCTAAAAACATCATCAGATTCAAATCACATTTTCTGGATCACAACCGTTTATTAAGGGTAACTTCTTGAACACGATCAGATCTTACATAATATTCTATGAATCAAGGAAACGAGAGCATAATTGATGGGTGAATTGTCAAGGAATATAGTCATTATCTGTTATTGCCCTACATTTTGTGAATAATTGATTATCAATGTTGTTTTTATAACCAATAAATCCAAAGATTTACTTCGCTTAAGCTGTTTATGCGTAATTAAATGTTTTTTTCTTTTTCTTTTTTGTTTTGCAGAGGGACAATATATATTCCTGACCATTTACAAGATAAAATCGAAGTACACCCAATTATAGCCAAAAGGCTCATTTCCATTGCAGTCGTCCTGCCATAAGGAGCATGGCCAATATAAAGCAACAACAATAACGCCAAATAAACAGGAAAGCCCCCCCACCCCACCCCCAAAACAATTTTTTTTTAAAATAAATAAATAATCTAACACAGGGGTCCCCAACCTTTTTTGCCCCACGGACCGGTTTATGTCAGACAATATTTTCAGGGACCGGCATTTAAGGTGTGGCGGAAATAATACAACAAAATAATATGGTATGAGCTGCATGAAAACGGTGGTGTTTTCGAAATATAATAATAAACACAAGGAGCGTCTAATCTGGCCGCAACACTGATCGCTATGGTAATGTTTAATGCCTTCAAAATACGATACAATGCAAATTCAAAGTGCATGAAAATGACGACTCACCACAGCCCCGAGCTTGATTTTCTGCAACCAGACGGTCCCATCTCGCGGTAATAGGAGACAATGACACCTCAAGTGTGTGTTTTACGTCACGTCTACTTCGTAATTTTGTTTTAGTCGCCGTTGCTGCAGAAAATCCCCGCCTCACACAGGTAGCATGTCGGAAATAGCAACAGTGCTACTGTGGCGATCTCAGAATATTCAGCCATAACTTTAATTCAGTTGTCTCGAACGTACTTTTAAGGCCGCCGTCATTTGATCTCCAGCAGTTTTTTTACTCATTTTGCGAGCTTTGACGTTTTGTTTTTAAGCGGAATCGGTCACGTGACAGAGAAGCGTGGCTTGACGTGTGTCAAGCGTGACACACACGGATGTAACGGAGAATCCGGTAATTTTTCAAAATAAAACATCTTTCGTATTCCGAAATAAATCAAACGGAATTAAGGCAAGTTCTTTCTGTGCGGCCCGGTACCAAATGCCCTGCGGACCGGTACCGGTCCGCGGACCGGCGGTTGGGGACCCCTGATCTAACAGACAAACAACAGAATACATGACTAATAACCCTACAGGTATTAATGTTGACAAATGTATTCTTTAAATTATGTTTAAATGAGATGGACCCTCTTGTGTTTTGTCGGATTGCTTTCCACTCATTAGCACGCCCTGATAAGAAAAGAAAAAAACATATGACCAAACGAAGCTCTTTTTTGACGAATTTCACAATCTCCTCTATCAACCCCTCTCGTAACTGGTGTTGCAGCAGATCTAAATTTTTATAACATTACAGTGTTACAAGTGGAGCTAATATGGTGTACAGTATTTTATTTAAGTGACATACTTTATATACACGACAGCAGTCCTTAAAAATAATGAGGTCTATCCAACTTAATAGCCTGTATTTATTGAGCATTGTGCAATGATGGCCAGGAGCACTGTATCAATCAGTCAGACAGCCAGCCAGCTTCCGGCAACATCAATTCTGACATGGTCCACAACCTTCCTTGGGCAGTTAGTCCTTTGGAGGAACATATCATCGGTTGTTGCTCTAAACACAGCTGTGGCAACGAGCACAACCCCCTCCAACTTGCTGAAGATTGTATGGTGCTTGCTGCTTGGATGTAAGAGTGTGAGTTAAACTTTCTTGGTGGTTGTGCACATAATGGGATGAAAATGTAATATAACTGCCCTGGATGTCTAACTATGTGATAGAAAGCACATCAGTCAGCCCTCTGGGAAGAATATGCAGGAAAAATGAAGTTCCTGACAGGATAAGTGGTCTCCAACATATTCATCAACTATCTGAGTGCTTTATTCCAAAGGTCGAAGCTGTTGTAATGGAGCTTTGCACCACTGCAAACGACAAACAGAAAATCATTCATTGTTAAAATGATCTCCAACGATTGAGTGCATTTTCTGCCCTGTCGTTTTAAAACATCCGATTTTTGTGTAGAAAAAGGATGGAAATTAGGAAAGCATGTTTCTTTTCGGCGGCCCGGTGGACCAGTGGTTAGCACGTTGGCCTCACAGTGCAGAGGTACCGGGTTCAATTCCACCTCCGGCCTCCCTGTGTGGAGTTGGCATATTCTCCCCGGGCCTGCGTGGGTTTTTTCTGGGTACTCCAGTTTCCTCCCACATTGCAAAAACATGCATGGCAGGCTGATTGAACACTCCAAAAAATTGTCCCTAGGTGTGAGTGTGAGCGCGGGTGGTTTTTCATCTCTGTGTACCCTGTGATTGGCTGGCAACCGGTTCAGGACGCTGCAGAAGTCAAAATTTGAACAAAAAAATAATACTACATTTGATTTTTGCTAGCAGCAGTGTGAATGGCTCGAGCTAAGAATGCAGTTGAGGTGCTCTGGGTGCAGGCAGGGGACCTTAATCCTGTTAAGAACCCAGCTGCCTCTGACGTCAATCTTATCTAGCCATGAACGAGGGGTCAGGAGATTTCATTTGGACAGGAGGGAAGTTGAAAGGAGTGGAGACACTTGCTCTGTAACAGAGGAAGAAAATTACATTTTAATTCCGAAAGTACGTCATAGATAATTTGTTCAAATCATTGCCAATATTTTTTCTATTCCTTTTTCTCAGACTGCGAGCATCTGATCCGCAGGATGTTGGTCCTGGATCCATCAAAGCGTCTTTCCGTAGCGCAAATCAAAGAGCACAAGTGGATGGCACTCGATGTTCCGGTGCAGCGGCCGGTACTATATCAGCAGCCTGTCTCTGCTGAGGGCGAGACGGGCGTGGGCGAGTACAGCGAGCAGGTTGTACGTTTGATGCACAGCCTTGGCATCGACCAGCATAAGACTGTCGAGGTAATGGCGAGCAGATTTGGCTTCTTTTATAGCACAGGGATGAAAAATATCCTTTTGAAAATCTGAAATTTACAGATTGTGTTCTTCTCACCACAGAGAAACTATTCTTGATACGATCACCCATGTCTACCTCCTGATTAGAACAAAGATATTAAACCAACTGCCGGAGGCAGAGGCTGACATTAGTCACCCGGTCATTGACCAAACTCTTATGAAACAGTTAATACTGTATACAAGTAAAAACAAATCATGTCACTGTGCAGTCTGTCATAAGACGGAAACACATGAGAGGCCTTTGATATCAAACAAGCAGAAAGCCACATAGTTGCGGTCAGTACCCACTACACAGTACTGCAAAATAAGTCCGTGATGAAGGAATTTTGCTTCTGGCCTGTGTGCAGCTGGGAAAAAGTGCAGAACATGGGTTAACATGAGGGTTAACCGAAGTGTTTTTTGTTTTTTTTTTTTTGCGAGAGCAGGAGATGCTTTGGAGAGCTGGAGAACTTAATACTCAAATAGTGTTCCAGCATTTAAGTTTTTATCCCTTCGAATGTTTTCGTTCTTAGCAAACTAGGCTCTCTGTTTTTTCACCTCACCCTTTAACGGACAGGATTGGTGTTCAAAATGGAAGGTGAGGAACCTTGTGATTAATGACACCATGAAAACTGAGAATTATTGGAAGCAAATCAAAACGTTTACTCCATAAACATTAATTAATTATAGTATGCAGAAATACGTGGCTGTGTAATAGACGAATGACTAATTCAAGTGAGGAACATGCGGTTTTAGGCGACATTTCAGGATGAACTTGCCAGAGATTTTAACCAGTGAACTTAATTTGACCTTCTGTAAACTTTTTTTCTGACAAAGGGAAATAATCCGTGTCACAGTGACGTCCTTTTTACATGTCATCTATTTCCTCCAGTCTCTGCAGAACAAAAGCTACAACCACTTTGCTGCCATCTACTACCTGCTGGTGGAGCGGCTCAAGGCCCACCGCTGCAGCTTCCCGGTAGAGCAGAGACTGGATGCACGTCAGCGGCGGCCCAGCACGATCGCTGAACAGACTGTCGCCAAGGTAGCCAAAGGCTTGTGAATAATCCATAGACGCCATCCTCGCCACCCTGATCAAAGCTCTCTCATTCACACCTGCATCCAGGAGCATTCATTTATTTTCTCCACCTGCTCTTCTTCTCAGCCTGGCTCTTTCTCACTTGCTGACGCATTCTTTTCTTGTCTCTTTCCCCTCATTTTCCTCAACCCATTTTGTTGCTTGTCAAATTCTGCAAATCACAGCAGCTCCATTTGTTGCATCACCCGCCAACAGCTGTGATTGAAAGAAAAGACCCATAACGCCCTTCCTCTTTTCTCTGCAGTCGACGAGCAATTCAGCCCAGGTGGGCTTGCTCCCGCATGGGGTTCGCCTGCTGCGATCCCCCGCGGCTCCTGATGCGTTCACCTTCACCCAGCCCACGTGCGCCCTGGAGCAGAATTTCATGGCTGAGGACGTCAACACGCCCAAAGTAGGTCCAATGACACAGTCAGTAGACGAAGCAGCAGGCTGGATTGGTGGGGACACGCATGTCTTTATCAGTCCCGTTTTTGCATGCATGTTTCCTGACCTCACATGACAGCCCGAGCACATCCGGCTTTGGTTATGGAAAATGCAGTTATTCCAAACTATCCTGATACGCTCTGACAGTGATTCATTTTGATAAGATCACTCACTGTGAATGAAAAGTGTGCATGTGTGTGTGTGCGCGCATATGCACGCACGTCATGCTCCTTTGAGGGCTCCGGCGTTTGCTTGCATGGTCAACCTGCCAGAGTTCAGATGACTCGTCTTCTTATGTAAGCTCCAAGCCAGTGCGCACATCAGACAGGACAGCTGCCTGTCCTGCACAAGTCTCAGACTCAAAAGGCCGTGCGCGCGCGCACACACACACACACACACACACACACACACACACACACACACACACACACACACACACACACACACACACACACTTTTTTTTTTCTTGTTTATCTGTGCCAACGAGTGACCTTTTTCCCGCTGGCTTGTCATGAGCTGGCAGACTATTATAGAGTCCCACTGCCTCTCACATTTTCAGAGCGAAACACACATATGTAATTCTCATTTATAACTCCTCAAAATGTATTTTGCAGCACCCCCTGCACAAATGGCCTCAACAAAATGGTGCGTGGTGAGCAGTGCCGTGCAGGGCAGGGGGACAGTAGTGTGTGTGTGTCTGTGTGTGTGTCTGTTATCTGCATGAATGGAGCGCGGTTATGTAAGTGGTCCTGTGATGATGTGACCGAATGTGTTGCCGAGCAAACACACATGGATAGGAAGCCGCAGCGCTCGACCACCAATTTGTATACTTTTGTTTTTTTTTGGTCTTCTCGATGGATTATCAGGCATTCATTCAAGTTTGTTTTCTTTCCCTCCTTATAGTTTTGTTACCCTACTTGTGTCTCGATGACGGTCCCCCTTTGTGTTTCGTGTGTGCGTGAGGCTGTTGAGTAACAGCATTCCAATCCCAGTGCACTAGTGAAAGCAGATGGAGAAATTGGGCGAAGTTGCTGTCTCGACACCGACAACAGGCTGTTATTGCAACAACTCATGTGCATGATTTTGAGTGGCTGTGTCCATGAAAACACAGTTGTTGGCCCTGCCTTCTCCAAAGTTGGTTTTGTGGGTGCAAATAAAAACCTTTTATCTGTGTGTGTGTGTTGTACGCTTGACTCTTTTAATAATGATTGAATTAACAAATTCATATTCTGCACCCTTTTCAAGGTAAATGGCTGCTTGCTGGACCCACTGCCTCCCATCACTGTGCTCCGCAAGTCCTCCACCTCGTCTCCTAGCAACATGATGGAAATGTCGATTGATGAGGGCATCGAGACCGAAGAGCCCGACACAGAGGAGGATGCGCCCCACCTGTCTTTGGCCTATCTGGCTGCTCGTTTCGGACAGAGGCGTCACACACTCTCTGAGGTCACTAACCAGCCAGGAACGTCAAACCAGGGTATAATTTCAGCTGACCTGCTACACACCTCAAGGTCAAATACCTGTATCTGTAATTTTTGCTCGTGTTTTCTCATTGAAAAGCCTTTTTAATGCCCACCAGGTAAACTATTTGCTCTGGGTCACAACCCCTCCACGGGCAGCATGGATTCTGACATGGGCTACGACATGGGCTCCATGCACAGCGACCTCGGCTTGCTTGAGGACGCCCCGTCGCTCAATGAAGTGGTGCTGGCCAACAACACGACTTCCCGCGTCCCCCCTACCACCTTCCTGAGCACTCGGCCAGCCAACCCAGCAATGGCCGCCCTGACCTCGCAACACAGGGACACCCACAACCGTTCACCCATCAGCTTCAGAGAAGGGCGCCGTGCCTCTGACACCTCACTCACACAAGGTCAGTAGCCCACTCAGTCTTATCGGTACAATACTACATGCTCGGTACTCTGCGTGACTGAGACAAGTTCAGAAAGATTGAGCCAGTTAGTGCTGATAGATATTGTGTGACCGGGAAAGTCCATCGGTGCGGAAGGAGATGAGCTTGACTGCGAGAATAAATAAGTGTCAGTAAACTGTCAGGTCATGTCTCCTTGGCTGCTGTCACGAGGCACTGTGGGGAATTTCGGCACTGTGGGGAGTTTTGACTTGCAACGGAGTGCAGCTCGGCACAAATAGCACCGGCTAGGAGGAACACACAACCCCCCTGCAACAGATGCTCCTTCACACTCTTACCTGCTCATATACCATATGCTGTATATGGCATATACTGTATCTTCCAGATTATTTCTCACACGAGCGTTCACACCCCCCTCCCTCCCTATCACCTCCTCTACTCAGCCCCTCTGACGACTCTGATTCACATGATGAATCACCGACTGATATTAGAAGGTTTCAGCCCACATATGTCCCCATCTTCCCATTTCTACCGCTCCCTCTATGCCTCATTTCCCCTAGCACCCACCCCTTTCACCCAGCCCATGTCTTGTTTTTCCTTTCACTTTTGTATTTGCCTTTCTGCAGCACACAATTAGACATGAAATACATACTGTGGGTGGATAGCGACAAGACTGAGGGCATTCGGTCAAGAGCAGACCTCCACTCAAGGCCGAATATGGACCAGCATGAAATGAAACAACTTCATAGATACTCACCTAGTGTGCATGTCCTATCTAGGTCTGCAGCAACATTTTATTACATCACTCTATGCCCCATCCTGCCATAAAAAAAAAACAACAATGAAAACCTTGGCGGGGGGTAATCAGGTAGGGAATTCTAAACATCCTCTCTCCCATTCCATATACTGCCTCCCCAATCTTGGCCCACACAGTATAAATCACATGCACTTCAGCCAAGCCAAAAGTACAATTACAGCTTGAAAACATTTGTCTCTCCATCTCTTTATTGACAGGCTGTAATGTGTGCTTGCTCCCAGTTGCTGTTTATTTCTTTCTTTCTTTCGCTCAATCTTTTTCCTTTTTTTTTTTTTTTTTTTAATCCTCTTCGGGGGGGAGAGAGTTGATGCGGCGGATTCTTTTGCGTCAGACTGCTGACTTGGGTTAGAAATAACTCCCACCACCACAGTGAGTCAGGACCTATCATTCGCAGCCATTGCTCGTCACCGCTGGATGGCTCTTATCAGACACACACACTGTCATATGTCATACTAAAACACCCACAGCAGTTCAGTGACGTGCGTGGAGACACACTGTCAGAAGTGGCCATTATGAAGTGCGACTTTGAATATTCTTAATGTTTGCACAGGTCTGGTTGCATTTCGACAGCATCTCCAGAACCTGGCGAGGACCAAAGGCATCCTGGAGCTGAACAAAGTCCAGATGCTGGTGGAGCAGATGGGCTCCGGGGAAGTGGCTGCCATGGGCCCCCCAGGACCCCAGCACCACTTGCACAACCTCCTTGAGGTCAGCCGCACTGGACAGTCAGGACACAAACATACATGCATGGAAGACTCGTCCCTTGACAGTTCATCCACTATCCTCACCCCATTTTGCACAGGGGGGGGAAAAAAGGGACGAGCACTTTGGCTGTTGTGTAACCCTAAGAGAGCTGGCCAACTGATTCTTGTTTACTGTGACGCGTCCCCTTGGGGCCTGGGGGCTTCTCCAAAGTGAATGCCGTCATTGTTGAAGACTGTTAGATTTGGCCAGAGCAGAGACTGGCATCCAATAACATCAAATCATAAGCACACATACACACTAAATGAGACACACTGTATGGGAACAAAATTTATGGGTTTTCCGGTAAATAAAATCACAAACACACAGTTAATAGCCAAAACTGACAATATTTGGTTGTTCCCATGCTGCCCCTCTTTCACAATACAAGAACACAGCTCCCATGTTTGGGCCCCGTCATCCTTTTAATATCCTCTCATTGACTCACTAATATGTAATCCCGATGGAACATGCCAGTTAGTGAAAAGCATCTGTCTGATCAGTCAACACAAAGGCATTTTGGCAGCACACGCTATGGATAATCCACTTAGACCACGCCATGAAGCACTCAGGCCCTGACACGGCTTTGTTCACCAACACAAGAGGGATGGACACAGAGTGTGTCCTTCAGTTTATGTGTGCAGTATATGTGGAGTCACAGACATCCTGTTTGTAACTTGTCAATGTTTGTGTTGGAAGACTGAGGCAACCAAGCAACAGGAGGCCCCGACCTTATACCAAAGTGGGCCGCAGCCGCCTCTCCTGTCTCGCAGACAAAGTTTGGAGACGCAATACCTCACCCATCGTCTGCAGGTACGCTGATGCAACTTAATCTACATTAAATGGACAAGAGTGTCAATCAACACTTATCACACCTCTTTCTCTGTTAAATATTCAATCGTGTTGAACTGGCTGGACTAATTGTTCAGTTTTGTCATTTCGGAGAATTCTAAGATACAGAGGCATCGCCATTACCCCTTGGAAATAAATGGAATTGTCATGGATACATTTTGGATCCTCAAAAAACACCAACAAAAAAATGTGTTGTTGTTTTTTTTTTTAATGAGAAAAAGTATGTTAAAGTACGTTTACAATGCATATTGTAAATAACGTCAAGAACGCTGCTACCTCTGGTGTGTGAGCCTTGGCCAACGGGGTGCTGAATACATACAGACATACTACATTTAGATTGGTGAAGACCGCCATATCTAAGCTCCAACAACATTAGCCACCAAAAAACAAAGAACAAATCAAAAGGAGTGTCACTCATAAATCGAGGTACCACTGAATTTTCGCTCCTTTGTCTAATGGTCAGATGTCCCAATTACGACATCCAAACGCTGGCCAACTGATTCTTGTTTACTGTGACGCGTCCCCTTGGGGCCTGGGGGCTTCTCCAAAGTGAATGCCGTCATTGTTGAAGACTGTTAGATTTGGCCAGAGCAGAGACTGGCATCCAATAACATCAAATCATAAGCACACATACACACTAAATGAGACACACTGTATGGGAACAAAATTTATGGGTTTTCCGGTAAATAAAATCACAAACACACAGTTAATAGCCAAAACTGACAATATTTGGTTGTTCCCATGCTGCCCCTCTTTCACAATACAAGAACACAGCTCCCATGTTTGGGCCCCGTCATCCTTTTAATATCCTCTCATTGACTCACTAATATGTAATCCCGATGGAACATGCCAGTTAGTGAAAAGCATCTGTCTGATCAGTCAACACAAAGGCATTTTGGCAGCACACGCTATGGATAATCCACTTAGACCACGCCATGAAGCACTCAGGCCCTGACACGGCTTTGTTCACCAACACAAGAGGGATGGACACAGAGTGTGTCCTTCAGTTTATGTGTGCAGTATATGTGGAGTCACAGACATCCTGTTTGTAACTTGTCAATGTTTGTGTTGGAAGACTGAGGCAACCAAGCAACAGGAGGCCCCGACCTTATACCAAAGTGGGCCGCAGCCGCCTCTCCTGTCTCGCAGACAAAGTTTGGAGACGCAATACCTCACCCATCGTCTGCAGGTACGCTGATGCAACTTAATCTACATTAAATGGACAAGAGTGTCAATCAACACTTATCACACCTCTTTCTCTGTTAAATATTCAATCGTGTTGAACTGGCTGGACTAATTGTTCAGTTTTGTCATTTCGGAGAATTCTAAGATACAGAGGCATCGCCATTACCCCTTGGAAATAAATGGAATTGTCATGGATACATTTTGGATCCTCAAAAAACACCAACAAAAAAATGTGTTGTTTTTTTTTTTTTAATGAGAAAAAGTATGTTAAAGTACGTTTACAATGCATATTGTAAATAACGTCAAGAACGCTGCTACCTCTGGTGTGTGAGCCTTGGCCAACGGGGTGCTGAATACATACAGACATACTACATTTAGATTGGTGAAGACCGCCATATCTAAGCTCCAACAACATTAGCCACCAAAAAACAAAGAACAAATCAAAAGGAGTGTCACTCATAAATCGAGGTACCACTGAATTTTCGCTCCTTTGTCTAATGGTCAGATGTCCCAATTACGACATCCAAACATCACGATACGATGTTATCAGGTTATGCCCCCCACAATACGATAATTATCACGATATTGTGGGGAAGTTTGAGCTAGAAAAAAAAATCCCATGATACTGTATAAAAACTCACAATACTATGTAAAAAATAATAATAATAATCAACATTTAGTTTTTGTATATGAGAGCAGCGACAAAGAAATAAGAATGGCCATTCATTTTATTGTCAAGTCCTCCTATTGGCTCAGTGGATCAAAGTGTGGTCTATGTGGTTCACAATACTCTGTTCGACTGATAACACTCATAATATTGAGACCTGATAACACTCATAACTTAATCTTGAGACACTTACTTGCTCATGCATGCACACAATGTGAATCAAGTCAATTTGGGGACAAACTCAAAACATGTTTCGTTCCGCTTCATCTGGTACAGGTCTTAATACCTAAGGTGGTCAAAACATGTCTAATTCAAATTAAACTGCACTCATAAACTAACCACCAGAGGGTGCTGGAACTACACAAATGGAAAATAACGTGGCCTATTTAACCGATATTGCAGTTGTCGTTACACCCTAAGTCCCAATGCCTTTGTCCATATTTGTTGTAGCTCATACAACACCTCATGTTCATCGAAATGGAAGACTTATCTGTAAACAAGTCTTCTGTTTCTTGTGTCCAATAGACCGGCGTTTTGGCAAACAGTCCTGCAAGCTGCCAAATGTTCTGTAAGGAGTCCCCCCGAAGTTTAGAGCAACAACTGCAAGAACACCGGTACGTTCTCTCAAGACACTATTCTCACAATACTCCAAATCGTCTCATTGTATCCCCAACTCAATATTTAGGTTTTTCTTGAACACGCCCCAAATAGATACTTCCTCTGATCAGGGATAAAAAGGTGATAAACACTCGCCTCAGTTTATCAAAAACGCCACAAATTACAATGCAAGTGAACAGTCTCTTGTTTGAATGAGCGTCAGTGTTAAAGATGGTGTGACTCAAGTGAAGATGGTGTCTTAGCGTTCCGGTAGACTCTGACATGATTCCATGTTCCAAGTAGCTCTGTTATGTTTTAGTTCTGCCCAGTCTTCCTATTGGTTTTACAATTTCTCTACATTTCTCCATGATAGTCATTTTTACATAATGTTCAACAGCGGTTTTACTTGACAAACATTTTCATTGACCAGAAATATTGTTTGATATTATTCCAAATAAATGGGCCTGAATGAAATGGAGGTCTCTTGCCGAATAGATGCCTTCCCTCATCTGCAATGGTGTTAGACACCCTCTCCGCTCCTCCTCACAACCTAGTAGTTGCGTAATTAGTTTCTCGTACAATCTTAGCATTAGCATTGTTGGCCCACGTTTTTTTTTGTTTTGTTTTGTTTTTTTACTGGTCTTTTTTTAAAATTGGCAAGTATGCCTTTGTATAACGGGTGCATCGTGATATTTGTTCCTGGAAGGGGGCGGGGGGTCATTTGATCAAGTTTTAATTTTAGTACAGTGACAGCCATCTGAAAGTTCTAATGATGTACAACCCGTGGTATGTGTCTCACTCAGCTGTGTTGGTCCTCACAGACTGAACCAGAAGAGGATGTACCTTCAGCAGTCGCAGGGTCTGGGCCTGCCCGTCTATTTCAATCAGATGCAGATCGCTGAAGGGTCCTATGAAGCGGGTGGAGGGTCCTATGAAGCGGGTGGCACCCCTCTCGATCCCGCAGCCACCCAGAACTCCCCCCAGATGCCCCCGATGTCGACCGGCGGCCCCCAATCTCAGTCGCAGCCACAGGCCTCGCCGCCATACAGCCACCCCCACAGCCTGAGCCCCCTTCTGGAACCAGGGGAGGGCACTCTTTATGAGCCCTACTTGAGCCACCACCACTATGCCCAGCACGTGCCCCCTGTCCCCCACCTTCAACACCACTCCCTCCATCCCCTCCACCCCCTCCATCACCAATCACCTCAAGAAACCTCAGCGACCAGACTTGGCTTCTGCTACCCTGTAGAGCAGCAGGCCCAGTGCCCCTCCGCTGAAGCCCTGTCCCCAGGCCAGTATGAGTTCCCCCTAGACCTGGGCCGGCTCCCGCCTCCCGTCATAGGAGAGGCGGAGGGCCCCAGGGCGGAGGCCTCGGGCAACCTTGGCCAGCCCGAGGGTGTGGTTCTGGCTGAGCTGCAGAGCCCGCACCTTGACAGTGAGATGATGGAGACGGTGGACTCCCAGCACGGCTTTGTGCTGGTCAACTGAAGCCTCGCGAGTGCCCAGTTTGAAGCAGTATTAAGCCCGGAGATCTTGAACAGCAGAGAGATTTGGAGACACCGGCGAAAGCAACGGGGGAAAGCGCTGATTTTCGTACGATGAAGGAAAACTGAATCGCATACTTGGAGTGACCCTCTGAGAACCTTTCGTACCAAAATCCCTCCCTTAGCTGACCCCCCACCCCCACCGCATCAGACGAGCGGGGAACGGGCCGGTGCAGTCGGAACACTTCTCACGTCGCCGTGGCGAGGCTACTCCAGTGGCAGCCATCGTGGCCCTAGGAAGACGGCGACAACAACAAAGATGACGATAATGTGCAGCATTTCACACAGAGATGATTTGGAAGTGAGCTCTTTTGGGACTGACTGGCAACCAAAAGCACAAAACAGCTGGCAGAATGGCATGTTGCTTGAGCACAAGATATCGTTGATATCTAGCTTATGGTCCGCGTAGTAGTCTGTTTGTTGCCCTCACCAGTATGACAATTCAAGCCGTTTGAGCATTTATTAGTTATTCTTCATATCCATTTTAAAGACCCCTTTAATGCGAATTCTGAGAGTTTCTAAGTACATTCTCAATGTGTGAAGGTAATTGCTGAAAACGTGCAAACTGGGAATTGCAGTGAGATAGCGTTTTTCACACTTTCAGTTTTCCTCGTTTTTTAAAATTTCTTTGAATCCCTCCCCCTGGCTAAATTGGCCCCCAGTGACGCACTTCAGCATCGGGTACGAGTCACCCCTCGCCCGGTCTTTATGTATTTGAGTGCCTTCCTTCGCAGCAGTGGTTATCCAGCGCAATTGTGAGAGTTACTTAAGTTGTTATTACTAGACCCCAACCCTGTTAGCTCACGAGCTAGTTGGTCGTTGGAGCCTCTCGTTGCATCGTGGAAAGCCCCCACAATGACCCAGTGAGATAAATTTCAGCCACCGGAGGCTTTCAGGGGATATTTTTGCCAGTCAAACATATTTCGGGATGTGTAGGTACAAGAATAATGATGAGTAGGCTCGCATCCGTTTTTCAGTTTTTCCAGTCATACTCGTGGTAATTGATTGACAGCTGAGCGGGTGTGGTTTCAGCAGACACTCCCACAGCATTTTCTTTTTTTTTTTTTTGTGAAGCTTCATTTTGTATTCTTGACAATATTTTTTTCATTGTTCGTCTGTCGCCGTGTGACATTTGGAAGACATTTTTATTTTCACATTACGGGGACTTTTAGGTCCATGTACTGGGTTTTGTCGTCAGTAGTAGGACACCTCTGGCATATTTATACGTTTATTCAACATTCAGTAGTGAGTGCACTTATTTATGACAGAAAACTCGTGCACTGTGAATAATATCAATGAGATATCCTTAGTATCCATCTTAAGGTCCCTCTACTATTATGAGCACACTCTTTGCCCTCACTAAAAGGACAACTTTAGCCTCTGACTAGGACAGCCACATGTTACTCGAGAGGCAAAGCTGCAGTAGTTGAAAACAGCCTGCTCCCAGTATTACGAGTGGAGCGCCAGATTGACTAGAACTGGTTGAAATACTTCATTTCAGTAGTACTGCTAGTAGCACAGAGTTGTCAAATGGCTTGCCATCTCGCCGTTCAAGCATTTATTTGCAGTGGTTCAGATTTCGTCATAATTCACTGCACTAGTAGGATATGAACTAAATGCTCAAATAACTCAAGGCGACGAGTGAGACCAATGAGCAAACTGGTACACGGACCTTAAAATGGATATCAAGGATATGGATTACCAGTAAGTGCTCAAACGGCTTGCCATAGGTACTGTTGTTGTTCTGCTAAAAGATGACGGCTTGGACAACAACCGTAAGTAGCCTTTAGACACTTTTTAGTGGCGAGAGAAGACAATGGCCCTCATTACATCACGAAACACAATTTCAGGTATCGCTTTGCCCTCTCGCAGGTCGGACAGTGGCGGGCACCGTGCTCGTCTTGACCACTTGCAACACTAACAATGACAGTATTTTGACGGGAGGACTCGCCGAGTGGATGACGACGCACACAGAACATTTCTCTCGTCAGTGTTTCCCTTTGCAACTACTGAACTAACACTACTGACAGGCTTCTCCACTCTCAAACACGAGGAGCGCTTGATTTACGGCTCACGGTAAATGAGGACTCCCGTAGTGAATGTTTGGCGACAACTTATTTTTAACCTTTTTGTGGCAATACTGAAGCAATATTAATCCTCTGTGATAACCATGAAGATGATGATGATGCACCTCATCTGTGCAGCTCACTCTCATCTGATTCGTTGTACGGAATTGATGACATCAGGTGCGCAGATGTGAGAGGGGTTTTTTTTTGTTCGTTTGTTTTGGTTTTTTTGCACAAATCGGAGCGAATGTCACGTGACTGAAAAGGACGAGACGCTTTTTAGTGAACGAATGTAACGGATGACGCCCCGTGCGACCGCTTTTGGGATGGACAATCAAGGGGCCGTTGGGATGAGAGACGCTTATTTTATTCTTTAGTTTTAGCAACACTCAGACTGTGATGAATACAGTAGAAGTATCGTTCCGACAGGTGACATTTTAAGTGTTTGTGTGCGCGTGCGTGTGTGTGTGTGTGTGTGGTCAAATCAAATTGAAAAGTGATTTTTGTTTTTTGTGTGTGTTTTTTTTTTTTTTCCAACAAAGTCAGGTGTCTTCAGTACGCCAACCGTAGCAACAATGGCGGACTTCAAGGTCAAATTCACCATAAGGCTCGTTCACATTATTTGAATATCTATGAAGAGCAATAGACACCCATCACCCGTGACCGAGGACTATTTGGGGCCAAGCTGAAAAGTAACCAAAGGAAGGGATTAAATCCCCAAGATTTTTAGGACAGCCATAAAGATACAAGAAAAAAAAAGTTGTCATTTTACAAAGAGTTCATGTTGGAAGAGTATCAATTTTACGATAGTCATACAATCATAAATAAAGTTCTAGTTTAAAAAACGGTGAGGTTACTGGAAAAAAAACGTTAAAATTCCACAGGAAAAGTCGAAGTAGTACAGTGATCCTCTCACTTATCGCGGTTAATGGGGACCGAGACCTCCCACGAAAGAGGAAAATCCGCGAAGTAGGTAAAAAACAACACATAACACATAGACAGTCGTGCAATCTCAACCACTTTTACTGCATACACTTTGTTGTTTGAAGCAGTTATACCTGTAGATGAAGGGGAGAGAATCAAAGTGTCCTTTCACCAGTGGATCAGAAACGTCATGCTGAAAATGTGCACACGTCTGCTACAAGCTAAGTTAGAAAGCAAACAAGAAGCTGTAGCGTCCATTGACGAAAAAAGAGATTGGCTCACATCTTCTGCCCCATGTAAATCCGCTTCAATTCCAAGCCGCGACTCCCAGTTCCACATAGGCATCGGCGCTCTGCGCTGACGCTCCTTTCTTCTCATTGTCGGCTCCACAAGTCATCCATCCATGCAGCCGCAGACTGTCCCAACAGCACCGACATTTCCGCTGAACAAAGCGGGGCTGTGAAAAATGATGCCCATTTCAGGCGCAAAAAACACAAGCGCCCCGGGGCTGTCCAGCAACGACAGTCGGATGGCGCCGACATTCCTCCCAATCAAAATCAGTGCTGGTACACGCGTGCTGCCGAGAAGGCATAAAATCCAGGAAACATATACATGTAGTACTGTATATGTTGCTCTATGTGACTCGCTGTTTTGCTGACTTTCGCTGCCTCTCGCGGACCTTTTGCAGCATTTTATTTTTTTTTGATGAATCCTTTTGAAAAATCTGCGAGGCACTGAAACCATGAAAAGTGAACTGCGAAGTAGCGAGGGATCACTGTACATTCAGAAGTTCGGAATATAGTCTTGCATTGAAAAGGTCATAATATGATGACAAAAGTCGGAAGGGAAATAAAATAGTAATTTTTCTTAGTGTAATTTTGCAAGAATACAATTGGCATTAAACAGGAAGAGCCTAATGTTGAAACAAGTCATAAATTTACTGGGGATAAAAGGCTCCATTTTGAGGGGCCGGGGGCGGGAGTGATCATTTTTAAAGAGTGAAGTCGCGCAATATTACCATATTAAATTACATTTTTTCGAGAAAAGTCGCAGTAGTAGTAATTTTACGCAGTCGTAATGTTTTTCACAGAGTTGCCAGTTCACTGGAATAAAATGACAATTTTACAAATGCACATTTTTCCAAAACAAAATTGTAATTTTTCGTCTCGGGTCATAAAATTACGAGAAAAAAAAATTCAAGAAAAGTCACAATCTTTCTTATTCTTATGAAAGACTTCATTCTCACAGAAAGACACCTTGTTTTCTTCACTTGGATATTCACTTACTGTATGAAAATGACTCCATTGTTAGGTTGTCAGCATTCTCCTAAAACTTTCCTTGGAAAAATCCCAAATAACTCTTCTAACATCACAATTTTGACATTGACTGGTTAAAATTACACCTTGACTATTCACAAAAAATTAGGACTTTTTCTCAGAAAATTGTGACTACTTCTAACGTTACAGTTTTCACATGGAGTTATTAAATTCCGACATTGTTGACCTTTATACTCTTCTCTTAAAATGACAACTATTGTAACACTACAATTTTGTTAGTTTCACCGTTGTCGTATTTTGACTTTGTCCTTTGCGCGACAATTTTGACATTCCCTTCAGATTACAACTTTAACACATGACGACTATTCTCATAAAAATTCAGACTTTTTCTTCTGAAGATTGTGGCTATTCTAATAACGTTACAATTTTAACATCCACTTTTGAAAATGGCAACTTTGTCAACATGTCACGATTATTCTTTTTGTTTGTTTGTTTTTGTGTGCATGTACGTGTGTGTGTGCGCGCGTGTGTGTGTGTGTTTTTAACGTTGCAATTTTAACATTCACTTATTGAAATTATCACATTCTGACCATTTTCTCGAAAAAATACTCTGTGAGGTTACAATGTTGATATTCACTCAATGACTTAGAACAGTAATAATGACTTTTCCCCTCATATTTTGTCATTTTATTTTTTGTGAAATGACATTTTTCAATTGGCCCCAATATTCTTTGGCACTTACAAATACTTCATTTAATTGACAACTAGACCCTGGTATATTTTTGGTTTCCTTTTTTTTTTTAGGAATGGACTACGAGAATATAATACAAAATGAGATTGAGTTCAAATTCCATTTTCTCACCCTTATGTTGTCATCGGGACGGTAAAAATTGGTCATGCCAGCAATAACAACCGACGCCGCAATGCGTTGCGGCCGTAAGAGACCGAAAAGGGTGCGCAAAGTACTCAATTGTTGTGTTCATATTGTTCTGGGACGGCTCGGTTGTACTGAACAGAGATGTATTACCAGAGGCGGAGGACATGAACTCACATTTGTTTGAAAAAGTGTACAAATGAGCGTTAACTAGAGCCACCTGGTAGCGTTTGTATTCTGTGTGCCTTTTACTTTTTACATTTCAATGATGGTGATGAGTTGTCATGATTAGCATTTGTTTTGTCATGGTTTTTCGCCCGCCCCCACCCACTTAAGTGAGTAGAAGCAGTTTCCACAAAGGTACAAAAGCCAAAGTCCCTCAATACTTGTTGCCATCTTTGTGATTTTTTTTTAACAAGGTTTATTTTTTTGTTTTAACTTGTTGGCTCGGTGGCCGCACGTGTCAAAAGTATTCTAGCAATATATTTGTGTAGAGGTGAAGACTGAAGTCATAAGGAGAGTAGTTGTTGATACATTACATTCATTTCACATATACCCCCCTAACCCCCGCTGCTGTTGAAGCAACAACATGAAATAAAGACTTTTCTATATTTCCCCCTCATTGTTGTCAGCCACACATAAGCTAACTTGCTGTTGAGATTAAAAAAAAAGGTTATGGAACAGCTTTTTGCTGCCTTGTCTCCTTTGTGTCTAACTACACTCCTAAAACCACGTTAATGGGAACACTTTTTGTCTTTGTAGAAGGAAAAAAATTCTAGAATTGGAGGAAAAGAACCATGAAGACATTTTAGCTTTCTCGAGACAAAAGATAACTTCCGCACAAGTAAAAGTGCCTGCTAAATCCAGTATTTAGAATACAGAGAAGCCCCTGAATTTGTTTTTCTCTTGTCCCGCACTCTATAATTTCATGACTTTTTACATCGACTGTCGCTCTGTTTGTTCTTGAAAAAGTTAGCAGGAGAGCTAAAATGGGCAACAGGAACTTGAGCATTGATAAGCAATGCCATTACTGTAATTAGCGTAATGCTAAAATGACATTTGTTTTCAAATCAAATTTAACTTCATTTGATTAGGAAGGATTTATTGAGCAACATATATTAGGATAGTAAGTGTTAATCCACCCAATGTGGAGCGAAGGTGACATTGTGCTCTGGTCTCATTTGGCCAAGAAAACGCCAGGGAAAAACCACTTCTGAGAGAGAACATGAAGAGGGCAAAAAACGATGAGGACGCGGTTAAAAGTCAAGTGATTTTTATTCTTTGTTTTTTGCATTATGCACAACTTTCATTTATTGTGCAATAATCTAATTTGTAACATGTATTTGTTTGATATTTTGATGTATTTTTGTGCTTCAGAAAACATTTATGTCTGAATTTTAGGGGGCTTGGAACGGACTGAAGGAACACGTCTTGAATCATATTTTTATTTTTGACAAATGAAGGGTTCGGTGAATGTGGATATGAACTGGTTGGGTTTGGGTACCTCAAACAAGGTTAAGAACCATTGCAAAACATGATCGTTTTTTTCAGTTAAAAACACCTTACCTATACATGCCCGTTT